TGTGGAGAAGTTAATTTGATTTTTCAATTTCAACTGAGAAGGTTACCTATAAGTATCAGTATCATCTTATGAAATTTATATGATCTTATTTTTGTATTAATCTCAGTTACGACATTTTTCCATAAATGAAATATCAAAATTAATAATAAAATGAATGCAAATACAAAAAACAATAGAATGTAATAAATGTACATAAAATTATAGTATTTTATGTACAATTGATAAAATTTCATAAGAAAGGTACCTATAAATTAATTAGATACCTTTCTAAGAAATATGAAATTTAATGTCACTTTAACAGTTTTATTTTAATTTATTTAGAATATATTTCCATAAAGCATCATAAACGTAAAGGTGAAAGCTAAGTACAAAAAAAAAAAAAAAAATTAGACCGCTGAAAGTTTTCGTTAAAAATAACGGTGTAAATAATTTGTTCACGTAAATGTAAATTATTTCACTTTTCTCCTTCCGTAGAACAAATTAGCCTCACGGGATCCGTCAAATATGTCATTCATCACATGTCAAGTGACGCGAAAGTTTATGACCTGCTTTTGTTTTATTTTTCAAATTACATCTTTTTGGCACAAAAGCTAAGTTAAGTTTGGTTCAAAATATTTTAAATAAACATTATAATTTCTGATTTTCTTAAAATAAGTTTTGAAAAAATGATAATTGATATTTAAAAAATTTCAAAGTCAGATTTCCAGTTTTTTTTTAAAATGGAAAAAATGGTCAATTTTGCTGACTCAAAAAAACTAGATTTTTAACGAAAATTTCGGACGTGCTAGGAACGATTAAAAATGGAAAAAAAATACCCCAAAAATACTTTGACCTTTCCTCTTAATGAATAACAAAACATTTAGACGATAAAATTTTGTTTTCAAGTTTGGTCTTTTTTTCATCATGCTATGCTTTTTTTTAGCGATCTCGTGGAGGTACCTACCTTAAGTGGCTCTTGGGCCTTGTATCGAATGAACATTAGTGTAAAAGATGTTTCCTTACATTTCCTCATTTTCTTAGAATTTCCGCATTGCTCACGTGTATTCTCGATGGTATTCTCAACGGTTATCGGTTATTCCGTTCCAAGCTTCCTTTTCATTAGTGTGGAGACTGTACAACATTCACTGCCATATTGAAGATTAGACCTGAGATGTTCCTAACATACTTACTCTTTTCTTTGTTTATAAAGAAATACGATCGATCACACGATCGATCATGATCACGAGTCCCATAAATCTTTAGAGTCGTACGGGCACCACATGTACTGCAGCTACAGTAAAAGTGTTGTGTCTTGGGCAACACAGCCTGACGGAGCCCAACTCTCTTCAGACCGGTTGCCATCCGAGGCTTTAGAACCCTGTCCTACTATTTACCCATAGCAGAGGGAGTTGGATTCATATCTTTCTCAAGGATATTAGCATGAACTCGACTTGAATTCGAACTCTTCTCTCCGATTACTGAATCCGAGTCGCTAACCATTACTCTACCGTGCTTACATAGATATGCCAAATCCTTTATGGTTGGCTCAATTTCGGAAATGCAACTTTGGCTATTTCTATGCTCTCTCGGATTTCTGTGCCACATTTTCTGGCGTCTGTTATTACATTGGTTAAAATTATGCACATGTCTGGTTTTGACATTCCCGATATACAACTATTTACTCCTGTCTTAATAGTAAGTCAGATCGGTTCGATTAGCAGCAGATTTAAAAAATTAACTATATTCTACAGGTAACTGGAGCAAGAATACGTAATTATAGCGTCTTCAGAACACAACTGCTCTCTAATAATCATCTGAAAGACCCCCATTTTTATCTTCCATCACCCTAGCTGATGTCAACCCACAGGAGAGTGACTCGTTGCGCCTTCTCGGGATAACGTTCTCTGCTGGCATATAGTGGAAAGACTATAGTGAATCCATTGCTAGGTCTGCTGCTAGCAAAGTTGGTCCACTGTGTTGTGATAGATTCTAGAGAGAAAAAAAAAACTTTCTATCATATTTATAAGTCTACCATTCGATCATGCCTTGAATATTGCTGCTACATATGGTCTAGCGCCCTTGTTTTATATTTAGAGATTACTGATAAAATCAAAAGAAGAATCTGCAAAGTCATTGATCATGATCTGGCATATTAGCTTCAGTTACTTTCCCACTGTCGTAATTTAGCTTTCCTGTGCCTTTTCTATAAATACTTTCATGGTAATTATTCGGATAAGCTCTTCGGTATGGGACTTAAACATTATGAATTTAAGCGTAGTACTAGATTGGCAAGGAGGTTTCATCAATTTACAATTGAATTAGCTCGATGTATTGTAACCGTAAGTTTTATGCTAAAAATTTCTTTTCTCGCACTTCGCACCTGTGGAATTCATTTTCCGGCTTCTTGCTTTTTAAATGCAATGTCAATTGTTATCTACTGTATTCGTGGTTCCTCTTTTATTGTTCTCGGTAGAGAATAATTTTTTTTCCTTTTCTTAATCTTTCATACTTAGTAAGTCCCTTGTGTCTTAGTGGCTTTATTGCCTTGCTTGGGGTGAAATGACTTAAAAAAATGTAACACCCAATTTGAGTTGCCTCTTTTGCAGACAACAATGCACTCAATCTATTTACAGTCAATGATTAATCATTTCTTCCAATTTCCCTCATTTATGAAGATGTTGATATTCAACCCTGCTTCGAACAAAAAAAGTTAAGAATGAAAAGGAATTATTCTAAACCTTCACCCACCACTTATGTTACAGACGATTTAACCAACAGAATCAGATAAGATTTTGACAACAATGACTTACATTTTAAATACTTTTGACTTTAACCTAGTTTAAAGTTGAAAACGAAAAATAAGAGATTTGGCGAAAACTGAATTCACTAAAAATGGTTTTCGATATCAGCTTACTTACTAGTATTTTGCAGCGAAAACTATGATGGTTGCTGTCATAAGTTAGTCTGTTCCCTTCCCAATAGTTGTCTCAGTTAAAACCTCTTATATCAAATACTTCATCAAATATCGTGGACTGGCGCTATAGAATCACTAACAAAAACTCCACCAAAAAAACGCGAAGTACATCACTTGAGAATTTTCAACAGGAGTAAAAATTGAAACTTAATTCGAAGAGAAAATGACGACATAATAAAGACGTTGACATTCCATAGAACTACAAACAAAAGGTTAGGAAGGAAACTCCCATCAGTACTGGAAAGAGCGATAACAGCTACTGGACTTGAGGAACTTATTTTCCTGAGAAAAATGTTTGAAGATTTTATAAATTTCAACCCGATGTTCGGCCACTGAATGCCGAATGTTTCCTTGTAGGGAAACAGCTAATATTTCAATTAGAGATGAAAACAGATACTACACTTTTATCCTAGCCTAAAAGGAGTGAAGAAAAGGGTAACTTGACTAGCACTGGCTGTTTGGTCCATGAAAGCCGAATGTTCCTTATAAGAAAACATAATATTACCATTAGAAATGAGAACACATACTACACTTTGAAGTCAGTCTGATGGCAAAGAGTAACTAAATTAGTTCTGGCTGTTTGGTCAATGAATACTGAATGTTTCCTTATAAGCAAACATAATATTATCATTACCATCTTGTTATTTCAGTTTTATTTCTGAATCTGCCTTTAACCTAATGTCATCTGAGTATCATATCCTGTTAAGTTTACACCCGCTTATAATAAATCCTGGCAGGCCTTCTAGTCATTTTAGATTTCTCTCACGGTACAGTTTCAATATATCTTTGAGAATTCAGACCTTTGACGCATTCTTATATTTTTTATGTATTCACTAGAACCGGTCTGTATAAACACACAAGTAATATTTTTCTTTAATGTTAAAGTTGCCAATAACAATAGTCAATAGCCTAGTGGATTGATTCATGAATTTGGTAATATAGTGAATTTGAGATCAATCCCCAGACAGAGTAGTAAAGACCTAAACTCATCTGAAATGAGAGCAATAGCTGAGCGATATCCAGACTCATGGACCACTGATCGTAGACTAAATATTTGGTTGTTACATAAATCCGTTTGTTTTTTTTTGTATAATTTATTACTTATTATTTATTAGTAGTTCAGATGAATCATTCTACAATTGATACACTGAGCGAAGAAGGGCTACGGTAACGAGGCAATTTTTCCATCTTCAGAACCAATTTCCTAGGGGTCTAGCATTTTTTTTTTAAATCAGCGCCTGCAAATGGTTCTCGTCAACCTGAGCAGGTCAGCCAGAACGTAGAGAGCCTGCGTGTTCAAAGTTCTCGAAACGGGAAAACAATTTCTATGCCGCTCTGTCGTTAATATAGTTATCGCCGTACACAAATGTCTCGAGCAGCTCTGACAGCACTGTGAATTTGATTAAAAGTAAATAAAATGTCGAACATGCCTTTTCTTGTTTCTTGGCGTTCCATCTAAAAAGGGGTGTTTAATCTTAAATAAAATTTCAGTAACGTTAGACAACAGCATCACAGGATGACCAGAGTTACTAAGGAGTCAAAATGCTACGATGGCTTATTCTTCGAGATCATTCACGGAACATCAGAAAAAATCGAATATATGTAACAACGTAATAAAAGGATCAGTTGGAAATTATTCGAAGGTTACCCGGATCGGCAAACACCTGAAGAATGGCGGAGGGGATAACGGTTGAAACCTTGTGATAGTGATAATACAGATAAAAAACAATAATTCGGTTGTAAATAACGACATTTGCTCATTTAAAAAAGTAAGACAAATTAAATTTGCCAATTTTTAACTTTTTTCAGTTTAATGTTTTAGCTTTAGATCAAGAGATGTACGAAGGTGTTTTTTTTCATCGTAAGAACGGCGTGGACCTTGAAAAATGGTTACGAATCACTGATTTTCTTAGAAGTAGCGAAAAAGCCGATGTAGAACAAAGAAGTCCTGTTTAGCATTTGGTTTGTATTCTCTTAATGCTAAAACAAGTTTGTTCTTTTTCTTTTTTGATACAGAAACAATCGATAGAATTGTATGGTCTGAAATTCAAGACCTCGAACTCATTATACAATATAATGACCTCGTGTAGACATGACTTGAATATTTCATAGGCTCCATTATGACACGGCATGCTGAGGAGAGAAATGCAAAAGGGAGACGCATAAAGAATAGGGATAAAATGTATATGGAGAAGGAAGGGAAAGAGAGATGAATAGAGGAAGGAGAGTGTAGAAGCTGTTTCAGACAGGAAGAAAACAGAAATACAAGCAACTGTAGGGAAGGGGACAGGATGTGGAGAGAAAGGTAGATAAAGAGAAACATGTATAGAGCCTGAAAGGTACGGAAAGTTGTGTGTAGAGGAAGAGAGAGAGAAAGAGAGAGAGAGAGAGAAAGAGAGAGACCAACGAAAAAAAGGGGACAAGAAGCATGCACAGTCAAAGGTAAGGTGAAAGCAGAGAGAGAGAGAGAAAGAGATGATGAGGGCAGAGAGAGAGGGAGAGATCTAGATAGATAAAAGATGACAGAAAAAGAAAAAAGATGAGGGCAGAGAGAGAGAGTGAGAAAAAAGGAGGACAGAGAGAGAAGAAAAAGATGAGGACAGAGAGAGAAGAAAAAGATGAGGACAGAGAGAGAGAGAAAGATGGAGGCAGAGAAAGACAAAGAAAAAAGTCAGAGAGAGAGAGAGAGAGAGAGAAAGAAAAAAGATGAAAGCAGAGAGAGAGAGAGAATATGAAGGCAGAGAGAGAATGAAAAAATACGGAGGCAGAGTGAGAGAGAGAGAAAGAAAAATATGAAAGTAGAGAGAGAGAGAGAGATCTAGATAGATAAAAGATGACAGAAAAAAAAAAAAGATGAGGGCAGAGAGAGAGAGAAAAAGGAGGACAGAGAGAGAGAGAGAGAGAGAGAGAAAAAGATGAAAGCAGAGAGAGAGAGAATATGAAGGCAGAGAGAGAATGAAAAAATACGAAGGCAGAGTGAGAGAGAGAGAAAGAAAAATATGAAAGTAGTGAGAGAGAGAGAGAGAGAGAGAGAGAGAATATGAGGGCAGAGAGGGAAAGTAAAGATGGAGAGAGAGGAGCGGATAAGGCGTTCCGAAAGAAAAACTAGCGAGGAATCTTGAGAAATTTGGGTCACGAGTCACAGGTTGCGTGACTTATCAGGCGAGGAAAGTGATATCAATGAAACTAGTTCAAAAATTCCAGCTTCACCTGTTGCTTCGACTTTTGCACAAACACTCCCGGAGCGGTTGAATCCATCTCTTCCCCCTCTTGCTAAGGGTTATATAGCTGAGTAGAGAAGGCTCTTTAGCCTTGAATGGCAACAAATCCAAGATAAAGCACATTCTAAATTCTAAACCGTGTAGAAGGCAATGAGAACAAGTGTACTATCTTTCGAAAGTCGCCATTCCTGTATAAAAAGGAAAAGGAAGCCGTGGTGAGCCATGACCGCTTATTTTCTGAAGATACATTGCATTTAAAGATGGAGCGCCGCTTTAAACTCTGCTTTGTGCCATATTCCGTTGAATTAGCGTACGGATGTGTAAAGGAGTTTTTCTCCTGGTGGTTAGCATTAGCCATATGTTAATAGAAGGCAAAAAAAGTTTCCTTCGGGAGGTGAAAAACTTTACAAGCCATTTATTTCCCAGTTAACTGATTGGGGGTAATTTTTGAGAGCAGCAGCCAGTTTTACTTTGTTGGCCCTAACGATAATGCTATTAAAGAGGAGTAAATATTAATGAGAAATGATCTAGAAGCGTTGCCATTCAATCCGAACTTCATTACCCAATTTGTTGAGAACAATTGGATTAAGCCAAATATTCAGCTGGAGACATCGCAGCCCATGAATATGTGAAGACGTCTAGAATATCAAACATGGTCAAACGCCTTCGAGATATGCAAAGCCACAGTCTGCACCTCACCGTTCTTTAAAGTTTGATAGACAAATTCAGTAATAATCATTAACAAATTAGCGGTTGACCTAGAGCAGCGCTTCGTAAACTATGGGTCGTGACCCCAAATGGAGTCGCAAAGCGAAATGCTGGTGTTGCGAAAGTTAAATTCAAACACTTAAATGCGATGAGGACTCGAGTGAATTAAAAAAAAATCTGATTGAATTCTGGATCGGAGGTAAAACCGAATTTCCCATAATTTCTGAAATGGCGCCACATGTTCTTCTGTCATTTAGTACCACAGATCTATGTGAAAAGAACGTTTTCAGCTTTAACCTTTATTAAAACTAAATATCACTAAACGCTGAAAAATGTAGAAGATGCTTCACGTACAGCAGAGTCAAATATTACAGCAAAGATTAATTTGTTATGCAGCAAAAAACAAGCAAATCCGTCACATTGATGTTTTACTTTGGTTTATTTTTGTACTTGAAACAAATCCTAAAACTACTTTTATTTTGACAAATAGAAATACTTTATATATGTATATTGTTCAGCAAAAAATAAATGATTTATGTATTCTTATATTATTTCATATTTAATACCTGAAAGTAAAATGTTTAGGTTGCAGTAATCTAGAGAAACGAAATCTATATTGTTTGTCTGAAAGAAGACCACGTGATGTAAGATGCCTAACCAATTCAGAGTTAATTAGAGACATTAGTCCTTTGTCAAAAAAAAAAAGGGCTAAAAAAAACTAAAAGGATGATAATTCGAGAGCCCTGACGTTTCACCAGAATTCTTAAAGACAGGAACTACATGAGGAGGATTTCCAACAAGCTAGAAAGCAAGTATCAGCAAGATATTTGTTGTTGGGCTTGAAGAGAACAGGAGCCAGTACAGGAAAAAGTTATTTAGGACAATTGCAAGGATACCGTCAAGTCCGTATGCAGTGTGCGGTTCTAGTGTGAAGATGGTGGCAGGGACAATGGAGGGAGTTATGTGCATATTGTATTCTATGTCGTCTCTGGGTCCACACGCTACTACATAAAATGGTATCAATGAAAAGGACGATTTATTTTTCTTATTCGTTTTTATTAGAAGAGGAGGGTAGACGTGACTGCTTCGATTCCAGGAGGCAGCGGGAGGAATGACGTCACGGGAACGCCTATCGCAAGTTGGCTCAGCGTCCCTTCGCGGGCGGTATTAACCTGTTTCACAACCCGAGTGTTGGGAAGCGTATCGATGATACAAAATTCTTGCGGCCCTCTGTTGAATTCGCGCCGTTTTGAACTTGTATCCGAAACCCACCCAAAGGCAATCCATCACTGTCAGAATATCACCCTCACGAGGCATTCCGGCCAATCGCTGGTCTTGGTGTTCTCATTCTGTAACACACTCAGAGATTCAGTTCTAGGGAGTAAAATCAGGCAAAGATACTACTGACGACTCAAGAGTGGATCTGGAAGCGAATTTCCTAGCAATTGCTATTTCTTTGTCATTCTATGTTCTTTAAATTTAATTGACGTTATCTTTGTTAAAGACAGGAAGTACAGAAATGAATTCATGAAACTGCAAAATGCACAAATACGTTTTAATCACCAGTGTTCAGTGAGGCGAAAAATTTGAAGAGACGAGAAGAACAAAAAAAAAAATACTAATAAAAAAAATAATGCTCTTTTTCACAATTTAAATTGCCAGATTTGAGTGAAGTTTCTGAATACTTACATTAATGAAAACATATCAACGATTCTTAATAAGTGTGGTTGAAGAACTGAAGGAAAAAGCAACTGGACCCCCCACCCCAAAACAAAAAAAAAAAAAAAACTTACCGCCGGCACAAAGGTTTCGCACGTGCATTGAATGTAAAGAAATCCAGAGATAAAGAAGATGACCGCTCATAAGGGGAATATTTAAAAACTTTACATTCTCGTAAATAAGAGATTTTGCTGGTAATATGCAAATTTCCGGCCATGGAAAAAAATATAAAAGTCTCATTACCAAAGGAGGAATTGTTTTCGATCCTCGCACACCTTTCTGCTTTTCTATTTACCCCCCAAAAAAAAACATTCAAGTTGTCTTAAGCAAAATTTATGTTGCATCTCGTATTTTGGGAATAACAGAGAGAAATAAATAAGAAAGACAAGCTCGTAGGTAAGTAATTAAATAGTAGGTTTACTACACAAAGGTACACTTAGCAATTGACCTAATACTAACTTTTCTCAAGTCCTTTTATTTATATAAACGGACGATTCCATTCATTTATATCCTATTTGACAATTTCCGAACTAGGATTGATTTTTTGAACTAGTCCCTATTATTATTTGAAAATACCATTATCCTTTTCGTTGGGACTTTTTTTACGTGGGCTGACGTGGGAGCCCCACCAGTATGGAGGCGTCTCCCCAGCGGCTCGAACAACTATCTCCCGCTGCTCCATCGACGTGGGCAGCGGACAAGCCGAAGAGGGCGAAGAAGAGAGTCGGCAGTGGTAAGTCACCTGGACTTGATGGTCTGCCTTACGAATTGTAATTGAGACTGTCGCACATTTTTTGTGCCAGTTCTGACAGTCATGTTCAACAACTGGCAGAGGGCCGTCCCCAACCGGCTCTCCAGGGGTTTGATCACGTTGTTGAAAAAGGAGAATGATGGTGGGCGGGATTTGGATAGCTACAGGCACATAACTCTGCTAAACACATAGTTAAAGATTTGGGCCAAGATCATGACGGAGCATTTGCAGTTGGTTGCCAAGATCCTAATGGAATGCGAGCAGACTTGTGCTGTGAAGGGACGAACAATTCCGAGCAACCTACATTTAATCCGCTTGATCCTAGAGGGTGTAAATGACGACGAGTAAGACGCTCGATCAATTTTGGATCAGTCCAAGGCGTTCGATAAGGTCGACTATCAGTACCTGGCTTCTATTCTGCAGCCCGCCGGATTCAAAGTCGACTTCTGCAAGTGAATCAGCCTCGTGTATTGCCACCCCCCATCCGCCACATCAGTGCAGCGGTACAGTGGAACGGAAAGCGGTCGCGCGCTTTTGAGCAGTCTCGGTCGGTTCATCGGTATTGTCCCTTGTCGCCCCTACTTTATGCTTTGGCGTTGGAACCTCTCCTTAGCCGGCTAAGGAACAGGACGTGCAATCCGGCCACACGTGGAGTCTCTATCCCTGGTGGTGCTCGAGTCAGGGATCCCGCGATGACGTATCCATTTCCGTGTCGTGTCGCAGCAACATGGAGGTGGTACAGAAGGCGCTTGAACGATACGTCCGCGTTCTTGGAATCTGGTTCGGGTCCGGGCTCCAGCTGAAGAAGAATTGGCCGGAGGTACAGGCTAACGGTAAGGACTTGGCTCTGAAGGCGGTTGTCCGTGAAGGGTTGTGCTGAGGCTCATCCTTTACGGTACAACTGTACTCCCGTTCTGCAAAGATCGTAAAAAGTCGCTCGAGCGATTTCTCTCCTTACACTTATGAGGTGGTGGTAAACATCAGGTCTGCAGATAGGTCTGTGTGCAGCGTTCGTGTCATTAGGGTGGGTGGGAATGCCACACTCGGCGAGTCCTCGACACGCCTCGAGGTTGACTTTCCTATGCCGTGCGTTGACAGAGGATTTTGGAGGGGAATTTTAAGGACGCCGTTCCTAGACTTACCATCAATTATCTCGTTTCTAGGGCTGAGCGCCGTCTTAAATCCCGGAATCAACCAAGATTCTTCAGAGAGTGTCGATCAACTTTGAAGGTCATTTCTTGGTTCACTAACGTTTTTACGGCCTAAGAGGCTTTTCTATCGGGAGTTAGTCGAGGGTCTCGCGAAATCTATCTGGGCCGCTCGGCTTGTCGGTGATCAAATTGCACTCTTTCTGGTGTTAGGCGCCAACAACTCCAACAGCGAATTATCTCAGTAACCATGAGTTTTCGTTTACCAGGCGTTTGATCCAGAATGGCGTTTTCTCTCAATGACATAGCTTTTGGAGGGGGTTGGGCGGATAAGTACGGCCTTAGACTAGAGGGTACAGCTTCGCACGTCTTCTACCATTGTCCTCAGGTGCGCCCGTTCTGGGACTATGTTAGCAAGTTGACGGCTCGTGTTGATTCCGAACATTTCCTGTCCCTCGATCTCGCATACGCGTACGATAATGTGTCGCCCAAGTATCCTGTGGTGAGACGAATGGTGTTTCTCACTCTGCTAGCCGTGGCAAGAATGGTGGTACGGTCATCGCGAATGGAGGGAATCTTGCGATACGAACGCTATTCTCATCAGGATCTGGTCGGTTCGAGTGAACGGAAGCAGCCTTGGTTTGTTTTAAGTCCCCTTTGACGCAACGGGGAAGTTTCCTGTCGAACACTCCCCTGGTTAAGATAGACACTCTTTGCTTACCTAGCTAATGTGTGTCAGTGTCGTTCCCGGCATTCTCGTTTGTTATGATCCATGTCAAGATTTCCAACCTCCCCAGTTTGTTTTTTCCACCTTTTTCATCTCGGCTGGGCCAGACTTTGATTGTCCCACTCCGTTAGTGAGCGATTTTCTTGATTTTTTCCTATAGGCAGAATACAGACTTTGTATCATAATGAAATTTTTATATCATCGGGATTTTTGTAGGTTCCCTGTGACTTTGTGGTATTGTGGTATATGTAAGATTGGATAGTGATGGATGAGTTCTTGTGGTGAATGAGCAAATTGTAACGAATGAATGGGTTGTGAATCTGATTAGCTAGGTCTAGGATAGAAAGTGTTGAATAACTCTATCCAACTTCTCTTTGTGACAAAATTGTTCTATTTAGAACAATAAATCATCGCATAGTCGAGTGTGGGCTTTCTGCGGTGGACGAATGGTAAGAGCACGAGAGATTGAGAAGAGAACAAGAAGAAGACGAAAGAGGAAAAGAACAAGAACAAGAAGATGAGGAGGAAAGAAGAAAAGGAAAGAAGAAGAAAACAAGAAGAGGAAAGAGGAAGAGAAAATGGGGGAGAGAAGAGAGGAAGAAAGAAGAGGAAAGAACAAGAAGACGAAAGAGGAAGAGAAAATGGGGGAGAGAAGAGAGGAAGAAAGAAGAGGAAAGAACAAGAAGAAGACGAAAGAGGAAAAGAACAAGAAGGCGAGGAAGAAAGAAGAAGAGGAAAGAGCAAGAAAACAAGAGGAAAGAGGAAGAGAAGACGGGGGAGAGAAGAGAGGAAGAAAGAAAAGGAAAGAACAACACGACGACGAAAGAGGAAAAGAACAAGAAGATGAGGAAGAAAGAAGAAAAGGAAAGAGGAAGAAAACAAGAGGAAAGAGGAAGAGAAGATGGGGGAGAGAAGAGAGGAAGAAAGAAGAGGAAAGAACAAGAAGACGAATGAGGAAAAGAACAAGAAGACGAGGAAGAAAGAAGAAGAGGAAAGAGCAAGAAAACAAGAGGAAATAGGAAGAGAAGATGGGGGAGAGAAGAGAGGAAGAAAGAAAAGGAAAGAAGAGGGAAGATGATGAAGAAAGAGGAAGAGATTTATTGTTGATAACTTGAACAACAAAGAACAGACAAGAAAGACGGTGAAAATGATTCTCTCACAAGTGAGTACGAACTACAAGAAGCCATGAAAAAAAAACAACTAAAAATAAATATTTGAGAATCTGCAATACTGTTATTGAAAAAAACAATTTAAAATCAGGCGAATTTAAATAAATTTGTATACTGAATTTTACTTTAATTACATCAGCATTTTCATAAAATATATTTATTTGGGAGTTGTCCTCTATTCGATTGGTAGAACAGAGTGTTAACGTTTTTGCAACGAGTATTTCAACCCAAGATACGACAAGACATGTATGCAAAATAAAACAAACCGACACTAGTCAAAGAAGCCTCTCTTCCCACAAAAAGTAGAAATAAATTAAAATAAATGAAATAAAAAAATTAAATTGCAATATTATTGATTTAATCGTAAATACTATACCAGCAATTTCTTTTCTCGTCTGTTGAACTCACTTCCGGCCTCTTGCTTTCCAGCCATCTTTGATCCTCAAAAATTTAAATGCAATCGTTATCGTCTGTCTTCTTGATTTCTTCCCTCTCGTTAATAATGTTTTCCATTTTTTTATTCTTTCACACTCGGTAAGCCTTTCTGTTTTAGTGGCTTTGTTGGGGTGAAATAAAGTTATATCAAAGAAATAATGCGCTATTTAATAATAAGTTAAATTCAATTTTGTATAAGAAGCACTGTGACCAGAAAATCATCTTTTTCAATATTTTTTTTCATATTTCTATATATCAGACACTCCAGACTACGAATATCAAATTAAGAAAATAAATAAATAAGGGTCCAGTTTGCCATTTAAATTAATTTTCAGTACTCCCACCGTGGAGGCGAAAACAAATATGATATTTTTTTTTTAAATTAATATATATATATATATATATATATATATGAAAAATATTTTAAGAGACGTGTATGATTATATTTTGTTTTGTATTCTGAAGAGGAGGGGATCATTGTGCAGTGATTTTTACTTTGCAAAATGGATTTTTCATAATTTCACGCCAAGCAAGCCTCTAATTGAAGCCACTAAAATGCAAGGAGTTACTGAGACTGAAATTTTTTTTAAAGAAACAGAGAGTGCAATAAAAGAACTAGATTCAAGGAGACAGGAAGATGACGATTGACATTGCATCTACGTTTTTGAAGATCCCAGTTGACAGGAAAGCAAGAAGCCGGAAGAGGGTTCCAAAATATCATAAAATTTAATAAAACATCTAGAATGATGTAGAATGTTTAATCTATAGTAATAGTGCCTCTTTGTACAATTCCATCTAATTTCTATTTTATAAAGAAAAGAAGCGAACTGACGGAAGAGAATGATTTTATAGATTTCAACTGAAAGCAGTTCTGGCTTCTCGGTCAAAGAATATCAAATGTTTCTTGTAGGGAAACGGCTAATATTACCATTACCGTTACCATACAGACATAATGACAAATATGGAAATATACCGGAAATTATGGGACAGAGAATTGATATATTTGCCACCTAACGAAAGTGGGGAGGTAGAATTAAACTAAAGAACTAATGGAAAGAAAAACTGTTATGGTAATTTAACCAACACACGCATGGACTCTCCCATCTATAAATAGGAGCAGGTACTGCCTTTCTGGAGAGGGAACATTCTTGGACCGAACATTCTTGCTTGTAACACTCTTGTTTGTATATGCTTGTTTTACTGTTTCTGTTAATATATTTGTTTAACTCAGTTCCTCTCTTGTGTCTTTATTTCTGGCCCTAACAAGGCCAAAAAAAAAAAAAAAACAAAAAAAAAAAAAAACTAAACGAGCCGATGAGCATACATACCTTAGCTAAGTTAACTTAAGGCGAAGAAAACTCGTCCATACTACACTATTACAGAGTAGGTTCTGGAATGTGTTTAGTTGACTCGCACGTGTTCTTGGACCAGCTCACAGGTGTCAGATTATAAATTTCTTGGTTCAATGGGGAGGTGCTACCTGGAAATTGAACCCTTTGAACTAGACAGCGCAACTGTTGATTCTTGACTATGTCTAAACAAGGAGGGAGATCTGATTAGATTTCTCAAACTAATCCGATTTGCTTTCAACAATGCTATTTATCCTCACAAGCACTCGAACGGAATGGGGCACTAGGCCGAGTTTAAAGTGGGGAACGCATGTGGGGTTAGAGTTAAAAAAATAATCCACTGCTCAAAGCACTTCTTTTGGTGGATACCGTAAGCACTAGGGAATGACGCTAGCCCTCCCACAACAAGTGATAAGACAGGACATAAAAGGCTAATGTGCGCCTCTTAGGACGATAAGTGATTGTTTCCGGTGATGGTATTTATCCGCCTTCCCACGAGGACAGGGTGCAAAACAGAGTCGTCTTCTTCATTACACTTCTATTGTTCTCGCTCCGTAATAATGTTTCTTTTTTTTATTCTTTCACACTCAGTAAACCATTGTGTCTACTGCCTTGCATGAGGTGAAATTAAAAAAAAAATTAATGCATTTACAAAAAGGAAAAGGAATTAATCTAGGACTTTCAGGTGCTCAAATATGAATGTCATTGGCCATACCAAAAAGCGTTCTTGTGAATATGAAGGTAGGCTGAAAAAGGAGCGATACTCGATCTGTAAAATTTTGCATGGTATAATTCCAATTGTTATTAATAACTCTGTGTTTTTTTTCCAGGTAAATAACATCTGACTATTCAAAGAAGACTCCAACGGTAATTTGTAGCGACTTTTCTTGAAAATGGACAATTTGGCATCATGGTGTTATCAAATACCCACAGAAAAAGAGTTCCAAGAGCATTCATGCTGATACCTGATCAAAAGTGCACCCGGGAGATCCAGTTGTTTTTTTTTTTTTTAATGTCTCGTAATCCAAGATGAGTGTTAGGTTCATCACGTTGAGCCAAAAGAACAATCCATGCAGTAGAAACACCCCTCCACACTAAAGAAGGCCAATGTCGTTTCATCCGCAGGGAAGGTGATGACCTCAGTTTTTGGATAGAAAAGGCCTTGTGTTTATTATCTTCAAAAGCCCACGCCATTAATGGAGTGCATTATGCAAAATTTGATGAGGCAGTTACGAAATGTTATCAAGACCAAACGCTGAGAAGTATGGGGTTACAGCTCTCCTGTCCTGTAGACTCCCTGAGGAGTATGGGACCACAGCTTTCGTTCCGTAGACTCCTTGAGGAGTAATGGGATCACAGCCCTCGTCTCGTAGACTCCATGAAGAGTATGTGGCCCAGATCTCACCACACTAGGCATTGCTGCTATGGTTTCCATAGCAAGTGGTAGGCTTTTATGTGAGAGAGTTGCTAACACTATGCCTAACCGGTTTTGAATTCAAAGTTATAATTCCTTTAGACGAATTACCAACCAATGCTATATAAATCAGTGTATCCTGCTAACACGTTTAATTAAATCTTTTATTAGCATCTTTATTTTCTCTAAGTATCCAACTGGTTTTCACGTAATCCATCTTACATATATTGTAAAATATATTAATCTGCACAGTTTTATCGCAACGGCCACCAAAAAGTCTTGAACACTCAATTTTGGCACAGAGATTTTATAAAATACGAATGTTTGTCCTGTATTTACATTATTTAAATTCAAACTGTTGTCCTCATTCTTGTTGTTATCATAATGTTTAAGCCGTTGTGCTTTCCAGCCTTCATCAGGTGCTTGTCGATCCGGGAAAACCTTCAGGGAATTTCGAATGGAACTCTTTATTTATTTTACGAAGGTAGATTGTTCTCATACCTCTGACCATGTCTAAGGGTATGTCTAATCACCTAGTTATTATCTAATACTGCTCGGATATTGCTCTCCCCGTTGTCTAATCTGCCCAAGGATTGAACTCAGAATTACTATATAACTAAATTCACGAATCTATGCTTTAATTTCTTCGTTTGTTAAGCCATTCAATGGGAAAAGGCGAACAATAACAGCACTGTGCTAAGAATAAAAACTAGACGAGATTTCTCTTGATATAAGCTGAACAATTTAGCCCCGTAGATTAAATAAAGGATTCAGTTCGAAATTCCCTGAAACTTACCCCGTTCTACATGTACCTGATGAAGGCCGGAGGGTAAAATGACAGAAACGTTGTAATAAAAAGAACGACAAAGACCTATATATTCTCCGTTTTTACGAAATAAACTCTTTCATCTCTTCTTCTTGTTCTTCATTTATGTGCAGTTTCCCTTCAGGACATAGGCGATCATGGCTCTCCACAACTTTTTATCTTGTGGGAATCTTATCAGTTTTTCTCCATTTCCTAAGAGCCCCCCCCCACATTTCGCTATCTATTCACACAAACTTCTCAGCTGTATCCCCTTATCCCACTTAGCCCTACATGCCCCGTGACGGTTAAGTTTTCCAAGCCCTCTTTTCTCATTACGTGTTTTAAGGAATTTTGGCTGCATTTGCCTGATTCTGGGTAGAAGCGTTCTTTCTGCTGACATTTTCTTTTAGTCTTCCTTGTTGCTTATGGAATTCTCAGTATCCTTCTGTAGAACCACACACGAAAAGGTTGATTCCCGAGCCTGTTAATTGAACTGCCATATAAAGAATCTACAGGAATATGATCGCAGAATTCGTCATTCGTCTTGAGATTTAAAATTTCTATTCGTTTCTTAAAGTGCACGATGTATGACGAACAACCGTGTTCATTGAAAATATTACCCTACAGCAGAAGAAACGCATGCAAGAAACACACGAATAATAAAGCATGTCGGTTTTTGCTTCCGTCCCACTCCCAAGACAGCTTCAAATAAATATGAATAAAGATAGCAGACGGGCGATATTGGTTCCATTTGAGACTGGGTGTTGTCTGTTGAAATATCGATCTTTTTCGGGAGTCTGTCAGTCTCCTCGCATTTCTCACATCAACGAGAATGGCAGTCTCAATACAGCCTTGGGAGTCTATCGCAGGTCGTCCATCTGGCTGCAGTAGCGTATTCGTCTTATCTTTTCGATCGAAACAATTAATTGTGAAAACTAGTGTTTATTTCTTGCGTTTGATACAGCCAGTGGGATAATAAATGGGCTATTGTTGAAAAGAAAAAGAAGCCTAGTAAGAAAGAACGCAGTGAGTTGTCGTCTGCTTTTGTTCGTCGAACAAAGCTGACTCCTGAGCATGCGCTGAATAAAATCTACACAATTACGAGCGTAGCATTGAATTTTAAGAAGGACTTTATTATTATTATTATTATTGTTTGCGGTTCTTTTGTCTTAATTCAATTGCTTGATACGAGAAATGATTAACAAAATCATTTTATATAGTGAGTCATCTTTAAACGGTGAATAACATTTTATGTTGGTTTTATTAACTTCTTTGGGAATTGTAATCTGGTTGCGGTATTTGAACAAAGTGTCGGTGTTGTGTTCGTTAAAGCAGAACTACTATTTAAACATGAACTAATACTACTTGTAATAACGATGTTTATAAAACATTCAGTCTGAGAAAATACAAAGAATAATACTGAGGAAAGTGTTAGGCTATCGAGGAGACATGCAGTCACTTGACGTCCGGTGAAAATCAGAAGACTTTACTCACGCGAGCACTAAATGGTTACAAATAATATAATTAATAAAACACTTGAAATTGTCTTGAAGTTTCTTGCGAAAATGATTAAAAGTCAAAGGAAGAATTAAAACCACTTAGAGTAAGCATTATTAATCTGAGGAAGAACACTGATGTGTTTCTTGTGTATTAAGAATATTGATGGTCATTCCATCTTCAGAGAATGTGTGACAACTTGTAGATTTTGTTATAATGTGAAGTATAAAAATATAGGTTATCTCCCTTTGGTAGATGGCTCTTGTTGATAATGAGAAGGGTCTAATATAAACTGGAGCGATGAGACGTGTCTTAGGACCACTCAAGAAACAGGCATGCTGGGTACAAGATGACCTGAATGACGCGAGGACAATGTAGATAAAAAGCAGAATATGAACACTATTCAGATAAGGGTATCATCCATTATATTGGATTTTGTCCCCCCGATGCTTTGACTTTTAACCGCTAAAAGAATCGGTTTTTAACAATCTCCTATTCTCTTTCTCGTTATGTATTGTGTTTCTTGTATAAAATATGTTTTTTCAATGTTCAGTTGTCTTACTTTGTTCATCAAGCCACGACTCTGCTTGAGAGGTCGTTAAATTTCCCAGAGAAGTAATCACATAAATTAGCTTCTTCTTCGGAATTTAAGGGAATCAGACTCCCGAAAGGCGATTACCAAAATCTTGACCTCTTCAAATCTAGGGTCAACCGATATCTATCCTACATATCCTCATAGCATACACTTATTCTACCTCTCTTTGCGCACTTCCAACAATTTAATTCAGTAGGCCTCTACATTAAATAGCTCTTAGTCTTTGTATTTAGTGAATAATGGTATAACAAACCTGTTGAAAATATTGTTAGTTATATAGCAGAATTAGAATTTGAAAACCATGAATATCTGAACGACATGAAATTGTCCTGGGAAGATTGATTTTTGAAGTTTACTCCGACCAAATTCACGGTAAACGATCACGACCAAGGACAGGGATTTTTAATGGAGGCTGCGACCAGGGATGATAAGGGATTCGCCGATCGTTGCGACGATCGATGTGACGTCAAATAGCACCAAACTTAACCAAAAAGCGCGAGTTAGGGATCTGTAGTTCATAAGATTTCCCAGTCAAGATCTCGCTAGTCGCACTCCCAATGTTTGAATTGTTTAGACAATGGTTATTTATTAGAATCTTTTGCTGTACGGAACTGCAAATGGGACGAATGCCGACGTGTTGGTTGTGTTACGAGTGCTTGTAGAAAAAAAAAGACGCCTAGCGAAACTAAATCAAGCAATGGCAAAATAAAATCTCAAAAACCAAAAAAAAAAAAAAAATTAAAATTCTGCCAGAAGTAAAGTGAATGATTAGCAAGAACCCCACAGATAGTCCAAGTCTTTTAACCAGGATGGAGATAATTTACAAACTGAATGATGTTTATTGCTGCTCCTCGGGCATGAAACCTATTGGCTTTTAAGGTGTAGGGAAAGTCAATTTAAATGGAGTTAGAATTTGATGCAGATGTTTCGATTGTGTCAGAAAATATCTATAGAATATATCAACCAAGAAAAATTATTAATTTTAGTGTTCAAGAAAAAAATATTATTTCTGCGATTAAGAAAATAAAAATTATTAATTTTAGTGTCCAAGAAAATAAAAAAATGATTAATTTCTGTGTTTATGCAAATAAAAATTATTAATTTCTGCATTTAAGAAAATAAAAATTATTAATTTCCATGTTTAAGAAAAAAGTGGTCTGACAACTCAAGCACGTGTACTCACCGAAAATAACGTTTAGTTTAATAAGAAATTATATATATATATATATATATATATATATATATATATATATATATATATATATATATATATATATATGTGTGTGTGCGTGTATTTCTATATAAAATAAATTTATTTTGCTGAACTTGTATACATTTATTCATAATATACATATTCACACACACACACACACAATGTTTATTTATTTATAATTAGTTCAGCAAAAGAAATTTCTTTTATATAGAAGTATATATATATATATATATATATAAGAGTGGGTGTTGAAAATTTCTTGGTCAGACCATGAAAGTATTGACACAAAAATTCAATATATGATCATTTTGCTAAATTTTGAGAAGCAGATCTTGACTTGCATGTAAATTAATAAACATTGCATTTAGTGTCATTTAAAGAGTAAGTAAATTTTTGAGACGTCCTTTATATATAAAGAAAACCCCAATGTCTGATGTTTGCTTAAAGTCAGAAATTGCCGCGCACTATATAGTGTTCAGTTCTTTGTCCATTTCTGTATATATTGATATACACTTTCTCTTCAATATCAGGTAATATTTCTACATAAACAATTTTTAAAAAGAATATATATATATATATATATATATATATATATATATATATATATATATATATATACATGCATGCATATAGTGCAGAAACAAAGGATATTATTTCTTTCTTATATATAAACGTGCAAATGGACACGTGAAAGTCAATGATCATCTTGTAGATATAATGTGATATAGAAGTATAATTATGCTTCATTGATATGAATATTTACTTGCAATGACGTAAAAGATCATAATTTTGGTTAATTAGCTTCGAACTCTCTCTCACACTCTCTCACAGCTTCAATTAAAATATATGAAATGCTACTTAGAGGCTAGAAAAATTAAACCTTAAAAGATAGAAAATAAAATATTTTATTGTTTTGTATAGTGATTTCAGGTAATTTTTTTATATATATATATATATATATATATATATATATATATATATATATATATATATATATATATATATATATATATATATATATATATAAGTGGTAAGGATAATCCAAGTAGGTCTTTTTAATATAAAAATTTTAAAAAAGACAGATTTTTTTGAAGAGAGGTCAAAGTATTTATATACAGAGCAATATGATATACACCAAGAAGGAGAAAGCTTAACACATCATCGAAGAATTCGGTAATAAATTTATTTCGACAGTTAAATCTTTAATATCTGCCTCATCAGAGATAAATTACAAAATGGTTTAAAGCCTGACAATTTTGAAATTAATGATTAAAACAAATTTTATATTTATTTGTCAAACTAAAATAATTACCGTATTCTCCGATGATGTTTTAAGTTTTTTTTCTTGATATATATATATATATATATATATATATATATATATATATATATATATATATATATCGAACCTAGCTGGAGGCAACCGGATGTCTAGCCACACTGATGAGCTGTGAAACAGCGAAACAGTCTGTCTGTGGATGACGGTATATTGGCTCCTGAAAATTAATTTCAGTTGAGCTCTCTGGGGAGGAGATGTGGGTTGGTAAACAGTGACTATTATAGCTTTTTTGGCGAGACTCTTCGCTTATGCGAATTGAGTCACTCCCGGTCACTGGGCGTGTTTATAAAGATAAACACGCTAAAAATCCACATGCCTCCTTACCGTGCGACGATGGCTTAATGGTTAGAATTTCCGCCTGACACCAGTTCAGTCGGGTTTCGACCCTAGCTGGAGGCAACCGGATGTCTAGCCACACTGATGAGCTGCGAAACAGTCTGTCTGTGGATGGCGGTATATATATTAAATGGTTTTACAAACTTTGGAGTGTTTTCCTCAAACCAAAACAAGGACAAAATAGTTGCTTTAATTTCGGGAGAATATAAAACAAAAATTGTCTAAAATTTGGATATTTTTATTTTTATTATGCTTTTCCTCGATCTAAGCTTTCGGCTTACATGAGCCATGATCAGAGATGTTATATGGACATTTCAACAAATATATTCACCATCAAAGATGATATCATACATAGAAGTTTGCTATGCAACGATAACGGTCGCAGAATAGCAGACGCGGGTCGTAAATTCGTGATGCCGTTCTATGACGTCCTACCAAGTGAGAGAACGAAATATTAACAACAGTAACATACGTTTAGATGCAATGTAGACTTACCTGTCAACTTTCTGATCTTAGTTCTATTAAACAACATTTCTTAGAAAAACATAGCCATGTACATAATATTAGACAGATATTAGTTGATAACACAACAATACTCACACATACACATAGTAAAAAGAATCTTCAGATATTGGAGGCCATCTACGAAGCAAACCACGCTCCCAAAATTACATTTCAAACTACTACTAGATTGACAATTAGATCTCATTTTCTTACCGTTGAAGTAGTTAGATGTAACCGTAAGTTCTATTCTAATAGTTTCTTCCACAGAACTTCTCATCCGTGGAACTCTCTTCCGGTTTCTTGCTTCGATCTTCAAATATTTAAATGCAATGTCAATCGCCATCTTCTGTTTTCTTGAACCAGTTGTTTTTTATTATCCTTTTTCTCACTAAAGTCTTCTCATTCTCTTTCTCTCCCATTGCATCTTAGTGGCATTATCGCCTTGCTTGCTTGGGTTGAAAGCATAAATAAAAATGACTGGTCAAGCAGCTTTTCTGATCAGCTTGAAGCTTACGAACTTTACGTCAAAGCTAACTCGTTCGTTTAAAATTACCTCAGCTAGACGAAGTTTAAATGAGATTTAATTGAAATTAAAACTTAATGAATCTGATCTATATTTTATTCATGTCTGTCTTACTTCCTTTTAACAAGACATCTTAATTAGCCTTAAAAGTTTTATTTAATAATAGTTTTATTATTAATGCAACATATATTATGGATAGAAATTTTGTATGAAGTTATTGCTGCAATTTGGCACTTGTTAAAACTTTATGAAGTGATTTCAACCGACGCCTTCGAAACTAGGGACAGATTCATTCAATTGACTTTTAAATTCCTTTTCATATTACTAGACAATTTTAAGTTATTATCCCAAGCTGATTACGGATCGATTTCATCAAAGAAAATACCTGGAAAATAATGATGGTCCATTGTATAAAGCAAACAGAAAAAAAAAACGGTACGGCTTCTGTTGTAAAAAAATAAAACCCTCAAGATAATAATAATAATAATAATAATAATAATAATAATAATAATAATAACAACAACAACAACAATCAGTGGTTATTCATTTCGGATGCAGGTGTCTGTCTGGTAACTATTTTCATGCCATCTGACGAATTTAAGCAACAGATATTTTCAAGCGAATTAGAAAGGTGAATGTGATTTGGGAAAGGAAGAAGAAAAAAAAGACGGAAGGAAAGAAGGCTAGAAAGAAAAGCGCAAAGAAAGCTTTAAAGAAAGAAAGAAAGAAAGAAGGAGGAAAGAAAAGAAAGAAGGAAAAAAGAAGGAAGGAAGCAAAGAATGAAGGGAAGAAAGAAAGACGGAAAGAAAGAAGGAAAGAAAAAGAAAAAGTAAAGAAAGAAAAAAAAAAGAAAAGAAAGGAGGAAAGAAAGAAGGAATTAAGGTAAAAAGCTGAGGACGAGAGAAATTAAGCGGAAGAGAATATATAAAGGATAAATTGAACGTTTTCTTTTGGTGGAGAAAAGTTCTCGGTTCTGCGCCTCTTAAATGAGATATAAATGATGTTGGCAATGAAAAATTCCGTTTCAACTACCAGCGATTTCAAAAGAAACGTCTTCAACCATCTATTCACTTCCACCAACAAGTTTCCACAAAAAGCCACAATTTAAAATTCAACAGAATTCTCTCTCCCTCTCTCTCTCTCTCTCTCTATGTATGTAAATCTCGGTGTGTGTGCCTCTTTTTTCATGTATATACCTAGAGAATTTTTACTGAAACTCAAAAGGAGCATTCATTTCACAGAAAACCATTTTTCTCAATCATCTTTAAATTCCAAATTCAAATTCAGGACCTTCTTATTCCACTTGGACTAACTTCTATCTGATTGGCAATGTCTTTTTGTAAAAATAAGCCCGGTTTCTACTGAAGTCAAAAATTTACAAATGGCAACGTTTATATTTTCAACTCTGCACGGGGGGTTAGTTGAGGTATCCAGCGCTTCTTAGCCATTTGTAATACCTATTTAACCTATATTTGTGGTGGATGGACGTTGAATGGGGAAATCATCCATCCTTTAACAGCTCTTTTTTTTTTTTTTTGTGTTGCTGGAGTTCCATTTAGCCTCGTCACCAGACACTAATTTGATAGAGGAGTCGGTTTAGTCGCTGACCACTCGTCCACTCAGGTTTTTTCCTAGTTTGGTTGCCACTCAAAGCTATAAGACCCGGTCTATCTTGGTATTCAGCCATATCTGGTATCTTTAAATCACACGAACTTAATTTTGTATATAATTTGTTTCCTTAGGACCATGTACATAAAATTATTTTTTGTCATTCTGTTAATCCGTGCATGTATTGAATTAATTTATTTTGAAGTAGTAAAAATGTTCTACCGGATTTTGTTAGGGGATTGATTGTTAATTTAAAGGGACCTCTAAAGAAATATCCACTTAAGGTTACCTTTACATTTCAAATTTCTGCATCGGAAAATCAGGATCCGAATCCAAAGTGAGTTCTGATTTTATTCCAGCATCGACCTTTCTGTGTCTATCCAAAATATCAAATAAGTTCAGATTTTTAGAGAACTCTTCAAGCAAAGTGTTTTATTGTCTGTTTTCTCTGGATTGCAGGTGCCTGTCTGCTGTTCCTCAATAAAAGACCGAATAACACACTGAATCAGTGAAATAAATTTTCTCAGGTTTCTTTTTATTCTCGCCTTAATTTAGGGATGAAATGAAAAGAGAGAGAGAGAGAGAGAGAGAGAGAGAGAGAGAGAGAGAGAGTATCTTCTTCATGTTTGCAGCATGTCTCTTCCTGAACAATGACCATTTACATTCTCAGCTAAAAAAGTTGGTTCACTGTGTCGTGCTAAACATTTTTTCAATTCTGACTCTATCTTATATATTTATAAGCCTACCATTTGTCCATGTCTTGAATATTGCTACCATATATGGTCCGATGCCCCTAATGTATATCTAGAGATTCTTGATAATAACCAAAGAAGTAACAGCAATATCATTGGTTCTGACCTGGCATCTCAGCTTCATTCACTTTCCCACCATCATAATGTAACTTCCTTTGCCTTTTTTTTTTATAAATAATTTCATGGTAATTGTTCGAATGAACTCTTTGCTATGGTACCCAAACTTTATGAATTTAAGCTCAGTACTAAATTGGCCGCAAGGTCTTATCAATTCACAGTTGAATTGGCTAGATATAACCGTAAGTTCTATTCTAACAGTTTCTTCGCTCGCACTTCTCACTTGTGGCGCTCTCTTCTGGCTCCTTGCTTTCCAGACAACTTTGATTTTCAAAAATTAAAATGCAATACCAATCGTTATCTACTGACTTCCTGGTTACTCTTCTATTGTACTCACTCCTTATTAATGTTTCCCTTTTTTGTTATTCTTTCACACTCAGTAACATTCTGTGTCTTGGGGGTGTTAATGCCTTGCGTGGGGTGAGATGATTAAAAAATAGTGAAGTAACTTTCATTGTTCTTGATATATAACTTTGAAAAGAACACCGCAGTGGGGTGAGGGAATTGAAAGTAGCGGCATACATTAGATTGCCGGCTAGTCGTGTCAGTTAGACCACGTATTATCCGCTCCGCAAGGAAGGAGATGATGATTATGTCTGCGTATCAATTTTAATCGATTGACGATAATAAATGGTATCTTCTATGTCTCAACTTGCAGGACTGAATCGATTCCGTTAGTATACGAGCGACCATTTTCTCTCCCTATTCAGTGAGAGGGGAAGTAAAATAAATCCATCAGCATGGCTGATGCTAACCTCCACGGGAAAAACTAACTGCACCTTCTCGATCTCACGTTTTTCCACTGACATGAAGTGGAACGATTATATCGAATCAATTAGTAAGTCTGCTGTCACGAAAGTCCGTTAACAATCATATCAGAGGATTGTGAATCAAAACGGTAATTTCAAAACTCGAAATGTACAAAAAAAAAATTCTTACTCAAATCCATTATTTAGTTCGAGCGCCAATAATGAAAAAAAAAAGCTGAAATATCGAAGCAATTTAGTATCAAACATTCAATTTAGTATCAAAGACATAATTTAGTATCAAAGACACAATTTAGTATCAAACACACAATTTAATATCAAACGTACAATTTTATGTCAAACAGACAATTTAGTATCTGTCTATATTTCTGAGATGAGGTATTATGAACATTATTTACATTATTCAGACTATTGTCCTCATCTTTGTCGGAGAGTATAACGGCCGAAACGTTGTAATAAATATGGCGACAAAGATGAGGACAATAGTCCGAATAATGTAAATAATATACACAATTTAGCATCAAACACTCAATTTAGTATCAAACGTACAATTTAGTATCAAACGCACAATTTAATATCCAACACACAATTTAATATCAAACATACAATTTAGTATCAAATGCACAATTTAGTATCAAACACACAATTTAATATCAAACACACAATTTAATATCAAACGCACAATTTAGTATTAAACATAATTTACAGAAAAAGCCTACGCGTGACTGGATGCGTGGGCTGTGTAATTGTTAGCAATTCGAAACGAGAAAGCGAATATCCGAGTTTGAATCCCAGTTGAGTTTTGTCACATTGCCTTTCATGCTTATGATGTGTCACGCCTTGTGTCATTCTGGGTTACGTCCTGGGTATGACGATAAAATACATCTGGCAGCAAGGCCTCTGATTGGAAGGTTTCGAGGAGCGTGGAACCCCCTCTTAATTGCTGTTATTCCCAGGTCCACCCTGACCTGGGGTTGTGGCACCTGTTAGGGGGGGTCTCAGCTATTGGCAAATAATGAACCCCCACATTGGAGCCAAAACTTGAAAATATAAAAATATATTACAAAAAATTACTAGCAAAACATTTTTTGAAAAAAAGAAATTATCAAAGCTCACAAGAAAATAAAATTTCGTCATTAAATGACCCATGAAGAGTTGATGTGCCGTTAAACAAACAAAACAAAGCTAATCATTCTGGGCTACACTTGTTACTCTGAACGAAAAACAAAAACAGAAATTAGCAATGAAATTCTACCACTTTAGGGATTTCAATATATAGGGTGACACAAAAAACGGGAACTTTTCAAAAATCCAATAAAACCAAGAGTGATGGAAGAAACATATTTTATTCATAGTAATTGAAACCTTAAAACATGCCATTTAAGAAACACTGATGGAATTTTCATTTTTTAAAAATGACGTCCTGTAGATGGCGTCCTCCTGTACGAATGCATTCTTGAAATCTGCTGTTGAGATTCCTCATTGACTACTGCAACATCTCAGCTGGGATACTGTGAATTTCATCTTGAATTCTAAATGGCAAAATGTTTACTTGCTCAAGGTCACTGTCTCGCAGTGTTGCCACTTGCTCATGTCTGGCAATACGCACTTCAAAAATTCCAGTTTTTTGGGGTCAACCTGTATTTAGGGATCACAATATATTTAGTTTCATGCAAATATAACAATATTGACAAAAGTTATAAGTAGTTTTAAATAGGGAGTATATTTGAAGCCAACGTTATGTGTGCGTGTGTGTGAACGGGGGGTGTCTATGATCGGGCGAACATATTCATGCATATGCATGTACAGGTATATATATATATATATATATATATATATATATATATATATATATATATATATAAGAAATTGGTTACTTCAAGTGGTGTAATGGCTAGCTGGCTTGTCTTGCAAGATCAATAACGAGTGAATGGTGAATTCGAACCTCACTTGGCCCCTCATTCTTTTTGCCTTGTGCCACATCTAAGGTACGCTTAGAAAATCGTTTGCCGCAATTTTACTAAGTGAAACAATAAATACTATATATATATATATATATATATATATATATATATATATATATATATATATATATGCGTAAGAAATAGTTGTATGCATGCATATATGTTTACAAATATACATAAAAAGGCTCTATAATGCGTATATGCGTGTGTGTGTATATATGTATGCACAGATATATATGAGTGGGTATGTATAGCTGTACATGTATGTACAAATATACAAAATGGCTCCATGTACATGAACTGAGTGAGGGTGTATGTATGTTCACACACACACACACACACACACACACACACACACATATATATATATATATATATATATATATATATATATATATATATATATATATATATATAAGCTTTTTAAACAAATTCACACAATTTAGGTATATCCAAATAACTAGACCAAGACTATCAGATCGTTTCAGTAATATATCACATGCGGGAAAGACCAAAAACAAAAAAATATTTCTCCGGAAAAAGTTCCACATGAAAAAATATAAAAAAGAACTTCTATTAAAAACATTCTACTGAAACTTTAAAAAATTGTTGCTTTTATCATTTTTTAGACGAGATAAATATTCCATAGAACAATTTTTTTGCTATATATCCGATTCACTACGCCAGCAGCAATTTGGACTGCAACTCACATATCCGGGTTCTAGTACAGGTCAGGATTTTGTTGGTAGATTTTCTTTGTAAATCTATCTATCTATCTATCTATCTATCTATCTATCTATCTATCTATCTATCTATCTATCTATCTTGTGTACAAACAGTCTTCGGATAGATAGATAGATAGATAGATAGATAGATAGATAGATAGATATCGTGTGTGCAAACAGACCTCGTATAGATAGATAATCTATCTATCTATCTATCTATCTATCTATCTATCTATCTATCTATCTATACGAGGTCTGTTTGTAAAGTAACGGGACTGCTGTCACAAACAATTTACTTCAATTACAAATACCTCTACGCCTTGAAAAGGGGTCCCATTAATGAGCACCTGGAACTTGGGGAAAAGTAAAGTCAAATGGAGCAAGATCATGTGAATAAGTGAGATGTTGTTCTAGTACAGCGTGGTTTACTGCCGGATGTTCAGAGCGTTGTGAACAGATGTGAACAATATCGATTTGTCCTGCCACAAAAGCATATGAAAATAAAGCAATGATTGTAGAAAGTTAAGATTAGAGTTATATACTCCCAAGATATCATGTTAGATGATAACACAATTTGATTGTCCATCTTTCGCCCATAGCTCACAGAGCATGCCCAGTCCCGTTACTTTTCAAATAGACCTTGTATCTATACCCATTTATATTTGCTTACGTAGCCTGGTTTTACACATGTTTTTTCTCTATTGCTTTTAATTCATTTTCGACAGCAATAATATAATGCAATTAAAACTATCAAGTTTTAAGGTACATATACTTTGTTGATAGGATTATTATTTTGTGTAAAAGTCAGACAATAATAAATTCAACCTCGCCGGCCTGGACCAACATCTTTCGTCTCAACTGGATTTAATCAAGGCTCTTCAATGTAAATCTTATACGAATAAACTCACTTGAAGTTATTCTTCATTTTTTTTTGACCTGGTAGGAAAGTGAACTGCCTTACATTCCATTATCTTTCTCTTTAATTCTGTTTTCCCATTGCCTTGGAAGCTGTCAGCTTTCAGAGCAGACAAAGAAACACAGACGTATAATAAAACAAATATTCGGGTTTAAATATTACAAGGAGAATTAGCAAATTCTAAGAAGATGACGAAAAGATTATCTTCAATTTCTAATCTTAACATTAATAATGTCCACGAAGTCTGAGGGTAAGTCCTAATCCGGTGAAACGGTGACGATATCAGGTTTGGCCATAAAGAAATAAGGTCAGACGGGATAATAAATAGCAGATACGAAACTGATGAGATGAAAATGGTGGCTATAAACGGTCGATTCGAGCCGAGGGTCAAGTTAGAAAATCAGATGAAAGTGTCTAAGACAAAGCCTGGTTGAATAACTAAACCGAGAAGGAAGCAAATTCTTTCATTTATTGAAGGTAATTTATAACGCGGGTTGGAACTAGACGAATATCAAGATTTCAGTTAATCGGGTGACTTTACATACACACACACACACACACACACACACACACACACACACACACACACACACACATATATATATATATATATATTCTACCCGCTAACTCTATCACAACTACAATTGAAAAGACTTTAACTGAATTCAACATATAACTACACAACTACATCTAAAACAATAAAATACTAAAACAATAAAATACTAAAACAATAAAATACTTAATCAATACAAAACAAACCAAAAAGCCAAAACTTGAAGGTGGAACTTACTTTATCAAGTGCAGGAATTGCCAGAATTGCAAGAATGAATACATTTAAGAAACGTGAAGAAGTTTAAATAAAAGATTATATGAGCACAAAAGACACATTTTAGAAGACAACACACAAAAAGCATTGGTTGTAACGAAACTGACCACAGTTCTACTCTACTTAAAAGAGAGAATAATTCATTAAAACAAAGATTCTGTCTATACTTCTGAGATGAGGTATTATGTACATTATTTACATTATTCGGACTATTGTCCTAATCTTTGTCGCCATATTTATTACAACGTTTCGGCCGTTGTACGCTCCGGCCTTCTTCAGGTGGTTGGAATTTCGAACTGAACCCTTTATTTCGCTCACTGGGATAGACTGTTCTAGTTCCACGTGCCATGTTTGATGGATGTCAGTTATCAGTTATCCTGCTAATTCTCCACTGCGGGTATTGAACTCACACTCTTTGGGTCCTGTTACTGTATCTAACCAAAGCCTTTATCCACTGTGCCATGTGTCCTTGAGGACATCTGGGTATGAATTTCTGGGTATTATAAACCTAATGTCTTCAGCAACCATTTTTACCAGTGCTCATATTGCAATTTTGCTGTTATCATTGCATGTTTTTACCAGAGCTCATATTGCAACTTTATTATCATTGCTTTTCTCTGGCACTCCTTATTACTGGTTCCCATATTGTATTTATTTCTATGCTTGGTCGGCTCAGGAGATTTTTGTGGCCTAGCATAAGTGCTGATTCCTTAAGTTTACGAATTTTCCAATGGTGTTCCTTGTCTATGAAGGCCGGGGCGTACAACGGCCGAAACGTGATAAATATGGTGACAAAGATGAGGACAATAGTCCGAATAATTCATTAAGACAAAGATGCCTAAGAAGTGATTTAATCGCTAGTTCATCCATAGTAAATTCGCGTCCAGGTTCTTAGAACTATTCACCTTTCTTGGCAGATCTTCTGTTATCAATATGTGGAATATTTAATAACAAAGAAACAAAACAAAACAAAATCTAGATGAACTTGGCTTGACAGTAAGCTAAAAAGAAAAAAGTTCTTTCAATAAATTTTGAAACTCCCAGTATCTCTCGTTCACGCGTATCCCAACAACGTTAACAAACCCAATTCACTGAACTCCAAACAGTTGAAACGCCTCACAAAAACTTTTTCCAATTTGTCATACATCTTATCTTTCAAAACTGTTCTTGATATATAAAAATTTATATAAAATTTATATAAAAATTTATTTATTTTTATCTCATATATATATATATATATATATATATATATATATATATATATATATATATATATATGTATGTGTGTGTGTGTGTATTTAAGCAGCAATCTCTCTTAAATAAATATTTAAATATTCCACATGTTTCATTAAAGATGACAGACAAGATACTGCGATTAAGCTTTATATATAATTTTTCTTGTCTTCAAACTAGTGCTTTCTTTTCTGGAGTCTATAGAAGGTGAGGAGTATAGAACTGTTTCTCTGATCAAACCAAACTCAGAAAATATTATATCGGTCACACTACTATATGCCTATATAGATGACTTACGTTATACCTATACAACCACAGCTACGTTACACCTATACAACCACAGCTACGTTACACCTATCCAACTCATTTAAACACTCACGGAGACCAACCAGACTCCATCCGAAAAATGCTAATAAATAACAGAAGCATAACAACCTCATCCACGTGTGAAAAAAATATAAAAAATAACGGAAGCCTTAATAATAAAAAAGAAAAATCCAACACTCATTAATATTAACTACGAAAATGTCCACAGTATGCTAATTCTGTTCAGAAAACAAATCACCCTTATAAATCAAGGTACATACACACAACCAATAGATATCGTTAAAAAGTAAAAATAAAATGATCCTTCATAATGGCTAAAAATATAGCCGAAAGCGCTCGGAATTACAAAACATTTGAACAGTTTTTGCACACTTTGTTCCCAGAAAAGCAAACATAGCAAATAAAAAGCTTATGTATATATATAAAAAGAATATAGTAAAATAAAAATTAAAAAGGAGAATATTTCAAATCGTAGTTAAATAAAAAGTATTAGAAAAAAAAACCAAAAAAAAAAAAAACCGAAAATCTTTAAATTTAAAAAATGACGTTGAAATTTTTTTACCGTTAACAATTTTTAAAAAAAACATTCAGACGACATCTATTCAACTGATGTCAGGTTTCATTGTAAAATACATCCCTACCCCTTACCAAATTGTAACTAATAACTGATACAATGATACTGACATAATGAAAATCTAGACATCCCTTGTTCAATTTAAGTAGAATATTCTGTAACCATGGAAACGTGATTTTAGCTGTGTCTTTAAAACCCGGTAATTTTTAAAAGTTACTCCAAAATTCGCTTGAAGATGAAATGGAACTAATGCTTTTAATTCAATTGCAAAATTAAATTCGGGGTTTTAGCTTCTATTTTTGAAACATAGTTGGAACTGTGCGAAAAAAACATATTTTAAATCAATTAATTTATAATATATATATATATATATATATATATATATATATATATATATATATATATATATATACACCATTTCTGTACTACCTTATTCCTATGAAACGGAAAAACGTAAGGATGCTGGGCAAACTAAATAAAAAATTAATTAAATCTTACTAGTCTGTCATATTTAATGAAAGATGTTTAAAACAAAGGTTGTTGCTCAATAATATATATATATATATATATATATATATATATATATATATATATATATATATATATATATATAGATAGATAGATAGATAGTACTCAGGCGAACGCAAGTCCGATTCCCTACCTTTATTAAGAATTCTCGAATGCACAGACCGGTAGAAATATTACACACTGTTTAAATAAAAATGTGGTGTCCACTATAATGACGTTTGCAATCATAAAAATGTCGAATTAAAAATCTAGTCTATTAATTCTTTAGAAATTGCTTTGTTTGCGTTTCGCTTACGAAACTGAGTAGATAAGGGGCTTTCGAGAAAAATAATCAGAGTGCAGAGGTTTCCTTAAAAAAGGAAGATATATCTTGGATTAGCTGCGACGTTCTTTGTGGCCGATCGGTAACGCACGTCGGATCAAACGGTATTTTCGCAGGTTCGATCCTTGTCGAGGAATATATTATCTTTATTAAGATATGTCGCATGCACTGACTGATAGACGCACTGTTTAAAATAAAAATGGGGCGCCTATTTCAAATAAGAATGACCACTATAATAACGTTTCCCAACAACTATGACCAGCTTCATCGCACTTGCTGAAGAAAAGCATTTTCATAGCATGATGCTTTCACCACTATGTTTTATGGTGGGGATGGTGTCTATTAAGGTCCCAGTGTTCAATATTGGTCTCATCTGCGCAGAGCATCTTCTGCATGATAGGTGTTTCTCTGGCTTTCTGTCAACGATGGCTTTCTTCTTCCGACACTTTCATAAAGGTTAGATTTGTGGAGCACACGACTCTTAGTTTTTAGATTCTTCTACTTATGTTGTGGATCTTTGAAGCATTTTTAAAAATCATTTCACCCCAAGCAAGCAAGCAATAAAGCCACTGAGACACAAGATGGTTACTGAATGTTAGAGAATATGAAAACAAACAATACCATTAAGGATCGAGGATAATAAAAGAACAAAAATTGAGAAGACAGTAGATAACGATTGACATTGCATTTAAAATTATTGAAGATCTAATTTGACTGGGAAGCAAAAAGCCAGAAGAGAGTTTCAAAAGCGAGAAGTGCGATAGAAGAAACTTTTAGCATAGAATTTACGGTTACTTCTAGTCATTTCAACTGTGAAATGACGAGACCTTGCCGCCAATCTAGTACTGCGTTTAAATTCACAAATCTAGGTATCATAAAGGAAAGTTAATCAGAATAATTACCATGAAAGTATTCATAGAAAAGGGGGTTTCACAGTAAAGGGGTGGAGTTAATACATATGCACTCAACAATTTTTAGATTTTTTAAAACCATGTGACATTTTCCAGCACTTCAAAATGATACATGATTTTCGGTTGGTCAATTACTATAAAATGCGGAAATGTTCACGCTATGTCGGTTGCAGTATCAGAATACGCCGACTGCACCTCTGCAGAGGTGTAAGACGTCCCCCATGAGTCTTCCTGGGTATGGCGATATAAAAGCAAAGCCCCTGACCGGGAGATTTTGAGGAGCGTGGCAACACCTCTTAATTATAGTTGTTTCTAGGTCCACCCTGACACGAGGTGGTAGCACCTGTTCGGGCCACAGCTATGGGCAAATAGTTAACCCCTAAACTGAGATCAAAACACTATGAAAGTCTAAAAATAGGTTTTAATACCAGAAATACTTTGTAAAAAAATTATTACCAGCAATATATTTTTGGAAAGAAAGAAAAATATTACCGGCAATAAAAATCTTGTTGGCATTAAGTAACCCATTGAAGTTGATATGCCGTAAAACAAAAACAAAACAAAGAAACGTAAATGTTCAAGGGGAGGGAAATACTTATGCAAGAAATTGGATATTCAGTTGTCTTTTTAACTTCAATTAACTTGACTATATTCTTTTAATTATCCACACACGCATATAATTATTCTCGTGGCTATTCAGTAGGACTGATTGTGGGTGTGAATACGGTTATTTGTAGCCATTTTATAGTATTATTTGTAAACGTTTTTTACTCATTATTGATTATTTTATTAGTTGTTTATTCTTATTATCTTTACTTATCTTTATTTTTGCATTCTAAATTTCTTAATTTGTTTATTATTTAATTAGTTTTAGTATTGGCTTTGTCTAAAGCCAATACTAAATCTAAATTATTTATAATTTACTTTATTGGTATTGAGCACCTTACTCATAAATATAGCTTACATAAAGCTATTTTTTAATATATATAATTATAAGTAATCAAACGCCTGATAGTTCAGGTGTAGTGTTTATTTAACAATTCTTACCTGTTATATATGTGGTGATTTTCTAAACGTAGCTTAAATGTAGTAGAACGTTGAAACAATGGAGCCCCTAATGAAGATCGAACTCACCACGCAGTCATAACTGTTTTAGCGAGACAAGCTTGCTAACCATTACACCACATTGCACCATTGCCTGTTATAGTGATTTTCTAAGCCCGGCTTAGATGCGGCACAAGGCCAAAATTATGGGGCACTCAGTGAGGATCGAACTCACTACTCAGTCGTAACTGATGTAGAAAGACAAACTTTCTAACCATTACACTACGTCGAGGTACCCGTCCCTTGCCTGTTATATATGTAATCTTTTGAGTGAATAAATTCTTTAAGAAATTTGTTTAAGAAATACAATCTTTGTATATGTAGTAATTAGGGAGAATAAACGTTCTGGCAAATTGCTTTAATGAACGACACCTTATTTATGTAATCATGAGGGCAAATATGTTTTGACATATATGTTTAATAATTCCTCTCATTCTATATGTAATCATTAGGGAGAATGGAACTTTCCATAAATCGGTCTCATAACTCTTTCCGGTTATCTATGGAATCATTAAAGCGAATGATTTGTTTTATGGATTTGTTGGATTTACTTTGTGCGTGCTAAGACGGGTTTATGGAAACGGAAATGTATATTCCGAAAAAGAAAAAAAAGAAAGGGAAAAGAAATAGGGAGACGGTATGATGAGATAAGGAAATTATTATGAAAAGGAGAAATACCCACGACATGTGATACATACGCACATAGGAACACACTCACACACACATACACAACGAAAAAAAGTCAACCTAACACCAATAATAAGACCTCCCATAGGACATAAATTAATTAAATCAAACTTAGCATAAAAATAACGAAAGTTGAGAAACACGGCAGTGAATTGCTGAAAACTTCTGACCAGTGGACTGAACAATTGCTCGAGGTTTCGTCTACAAAACAGTGGGGTTAAGGTGACGAATATAACATCAATCAGTTAAGTAACAAAGTTTATATTTCTATTAACCCTATATATATATATATGTTTTTTTTCTGTTTATATGTTATTTTTGCATATATCCGTGTAGGATACAGATTCGATTTCTGTCAGAGGACTCATCTTTTTTATGAAATTTCTCGGACATTCAGGCCGGTAAATGTAATTAATACTGTTTCTTATAAACAGAGCATTTACTTAAATAATTGTATGTATATAAATAACGTATAAAGAATATATATTAAAAGAACTGTCACCACTTAGGTCTATTCATTATATATATATATATATATATATATATATATATATATATATATATATATATATATATATATATATATGACGATTATGATAGTGATGATGATCATCATCATGGGGATCATATGGCGATCATGCATATATATGTATGTATATACATATATATATATATATATATATATATATATATATATATGTATATATATATACGTATATATATATATATATATATATATATATATATATATATATATATATACATATATATATATACGTATATATATATATAGACATATATATATGTCTATAAATATATATGTATGTGTATATGTATGTACATATATATATATATGTATGTATATTCTATGTACATATATATATACATATACATGTATATATAAGTATATGTATATATATGTATGCATGTAGATATATGTATGTAGATATATGTATATGTATGTATGTAGATATATGCACATGTATATATATATATATATATATATATATATATATATATATATATATATATATATATATATGTATGTTTGTATATGTGTCTGTGTGCATGTGTGCGTGCGGGTCGGCGGAATTATTTTCTATCACGATTTGTCTGACTTAATCTGTCTGTGGCGTCGTTGTTCAAAACTTTGCACATCTGTTGCTTCTTGTTCCCCGGCTGTCGCAATGCCAAGACTTTTATCAGTTTTTTTTTTCATGTACGCCTGAAGGGCTTCTCTTAGCTTTGAGGCACAGCCTCTTGGAGAGTCAAGAGTCAAGAGTGGAATGTTGCTTTGTCATAGACGGAAAGCAATCAAGATAAACACGAGGGTTCTTCAAAAAAAAATTCTGCTTTAAGTTTCCAAAAATAAAAGCCCAGGAAATAATAAAAGTAACATACTGATAGAGATGATAATGATTGTAAGGTGACTGGTTAACCTTTTTCTTTTATGTGCCGTGTAGGCGATTATGGATCTCCACTTCTTCCTGTCCCGTTTAGCTCTCAATATGTTTTCCCTTTGTTATTTCCCCCAGACCTTGTACTGCCATCCACTTACTTAAGCCCGTTAAGTATGTTACGCGTTGCTTACCCTTGTCCCTCTTTTTCTCTTTTCACCCTGCGAGTACTAAATTTTCCAAGCCCTCCTTTCTCATTACATGTTCTAGAAATTTCAGCTGCCTCTTCCTGATGCTAAGTATAAGTTTTCTCTTTGTTTGCATCCTCTCCAAAACCTCGTCGTTGCTCACGTGTTCGTTCCATGGTATCCTTAGCATCTTTTTGTAGAACTATACCTCTATTGCCTCGAGTCTCGTCTTCCTCTTTGAAGAGACCGTCCAACATTCGCTGCCATAGCAGTTTAGTACTATTTTCTTTGTCACCAACAAAATCCTCCTGTCTCGTAATACTCTACCTAGCTTTTGGAATGCATATTTGGCCATCCCAATTCGTCTTCGGATCTCAGTATTGCACTTCCAGTCCTTTGTCAGAACAGTTCCCAGATATTTAACAATGAAAATTATGACGTCTCTAAGACACAATGAAGACCGGGAAATTTATCAATATAAGCGTTAATGGTTAATAAAATTTATTTATTTGTTCTTTTTGTTGGCAACGATAAAGAGAAATAGAATAATGTCTTCGATAAAATATGGTTTTCAACTGGGCCACCAGGGGTCAGACTAAAAAATATCATGGAAACAGAAACTTCGCTTTGGTTATTGATGATGAAAATATAACAAGATAGAATAACTAAAGCAGCACAAATATATATATATATATATATATATATATATATATATATATATATATATATATATATATATATATATATATATATATATATATATATATATATATTTTTTTTTTTTTTTTGGAAACTAGAATCAACCAGCACGTACCTTCAAAATACGACTTGGTAAGATATATAAAATGTATTATCTTCCCCCCATGAATATAGAATCGGCTATTGCTCAACACTTAGTTGAGAATATAGCCTGTGCCAAGTCGTATACAAAAGAGTAGTTTAAAATCATCCATACGGTTGGTTCCAACAATCATTTGAAGATTTTGGAATCAGTCTGTATAGGATTAAGAAAACCTCTCTGCCGGCAGAAAGAATTTGTAAAGTCCCTTAATCTGTTGGGGGATATTTTATTTTAACTGTCCCTCGCTAACTTATTTACACGTTATTTCCCCTCCCCTCGTTACAAGTTATACTTGTTTGTTATTTTAGCGTGTTTCCCCCCTTTTTTTGCTCTTTATTTTCGTTACTGTTCTTTTCGTTAATTAATGATCCAACGATTGTCTCCTGATGAGATGTTGGTTTTAAAACTATATATATATATATATATATATGGTAAATAGCAGAACAGACTGGGTTTTATAGCCTTGGATGTCAACTGGTCTAGAAGAAGGACAACTCTGAATTCAAAAGGATCGTTGGGGACCTTGTGACACGTAGTGCACCAGGTCTCTGTATTCGGCTTTTGAAAAAGTGTGAATGGTTCTGAACAAAACCTTCACTACTATAATCAGATCTCATGTGCTGGTGTCGGGCTGTAGGTTCCTAGGAACTGAGCTGCTTGACCCTCATACGTCGAATCGACGGGGAAAGTCGAGTATATATATATATATATATTTTTTTTTTTTTTTTCTGTTTATACGTTATTTTTATAGATACATTTAAGTAAATGCCCTGTTTATAATAAACAGTATTAACAACATTTACCGGCCTGAATGTCCGAGAAATTTCGTAGAAAATATGTGTCCTCTGATAGAAATCGAACCTGTATCCTACAGGGAACAGTCATTTGGCCTGACATGCTATACCATTTAGTTACAGAAGAAGCGTCCGGTTAGCTAAGTAAAATTGCTCTTTTTAAACAACAAATTTCCCACGATGAGAAATGGTATAGCACTTCAGGCTAAATGACGGTTCTGTGTAGGATACAGGTTAGATTCTTATCTGAGGGCACATATTTTCTACGAAATTTTTCGGATATTTAAGCTATTAAATGTAGTTAATACTGTTTATTATAAAAAGCGGATGGTTAAAATTTGGCCAACTGTTGATCTGTTTTGTCTGAAACTGTTTTAATTTTTGCGGAGGATTTTGTCCTGCTCAAGGTGGATGCTATTCAATAAGAACAGGTTGTAGATTTTGGAGGCTATTGTGTTGACTGTTATCCCTCGATAGTTTGTTGTTTGGTCAAGGTCTCCTTTCTTTGAAAAGGGGAGTATACACCCTCTGTCCAGCGCTTAATGGGGTCTGATTGATAAACTTGATTGCAAAATGTGAGTAACTCGTTGTCGAAATCATATCAACCAGACATCGGCAGGGATGTTATCAAGTCCACAAGCCTTTTCACGCTTCATTTGCTTCTTTACAACTGTCAGTTCGTCCATGTTGAAAATTCCTTTCTTGATGTCGAGTTGTTCTTCGATTATTCTTTGCGTGGGTTTCTCTGTGATTGTGAGAGACTTGCCAAGCAGGTCTTCAAAGTGCTTTTTCCATTTGCTAATCCTTACATTTTGATCAATAGCCTTTAGCTTGGTTTTGCTACAGATTTTTCGGCCACTGATTTCATTGACTGTTTTCCATGCAGTCGTTGCTTGCTTGTTTACAGATGTATTCGCGATAATATCGATTTTGGCTTGTATGAATGCTGTGTTCCAAGTCATATATTTCTTTGAGCGCAACATGAGCAGTTCGATGGAGATATCTATTTCCTTTGGTTGGGTTTGCCTTTTTGTTCTGTGCAGTTTTTTTTTTCAAATCTATTCTTTTCTTAATTACCTCTTCTGTTTCCCATAGGGTTCAGTGTCGGGATTTTGGTTACACTGGGATTATTTCATCTGCTTTCTGTGCACAGGCTTGTTCAAAGGTTTTATATGCTGAATTTGCAGAGTTTTCAGTGTTCACGTTCTGAACAGCGTTGAAACGGTTTGTAAGAGAAATCTTGAACTGGTTGGCGATGTCACTGTTGCGCAGTACAGACCAGTCATATCGGTTAGTTTTTTGCTGTTTTGGGTTTGTTGACTTTGAGACTAAGCTGAATAGTGGCACCGACAATGCGATGGTCTGAGCTCGCTGTACTGAAGGAGTTGAAATGCTCACAATTTACCACACTGCTGATCCATTTTTTATTGATAAGAATGAAATCAATTTGAGATCTGACACCATTTGCGTATGTAAACGTCCATTTCTTTCAGTATCTGTCTATATTTCTCAGATGAGGTATTATTTACACTATTTACATTATTCGGCCTTCTTCAGGTGGTTGGAATGTCGACATTCCAACCATCTGAAGAAGGCTGAAGCGTACAACGGCCGAAACGTTGTGATAAACATGGCGACAAAGATGAGGACAATGGTCCGAATAATGTAAATAGTGTCCATTTCTTTCCTTTTCTCTGCTGAAATTTTTGGGTTTAAACAGACGATTTTGTTTTCCATTATAAAATCACGTAGCTGTATTCTATTCCTGTTTGTTTTTTCATGGAATGAGTGTTCGTAGCCGTTATTTTTATCCAGTTTAGCATAGAAGCCTCCACCGATCATTGTGACATTATGATGAGGTATTTGTCGAATGAGAGAAGATAGGTCATTGTAGCAATGCTCTATTTCGTCCTCTTCAGTTATGGTTGTTAGGCTCTAGCAACAAACAATTGTGATTTTTGTATTTCCATTACATGATGTGACAATAATGCGCAGTGTTATTCATTCAATATTATCAAGGGCTTTTTGGCCTTTAGGGCTCATCAGTATACCAACCCCTCCAACCAATGCATTGGCGTTGGTTTTGTAGCTGATGAGGTGATGAGTTTCTATCCTTTTACTACGTCATGATGTTTCAGAAGAGACGGTGTTCTTGGACACAAACGATATCTTGATTGTAATTTACGGCTGAAGGAGCGAGTTCACCGATCTGAAGGCTACTGGATAGTGTTCTGGTGTTGAACGTAGAAATCTGGGTCTTTTGTTTACACCTCAGTAGATTTGTTTTTGGCACGGAAGCTAACTTTTCGACTACATGCCATGCCAGATTTGCAAGACGCGCCCCTTTTTTACCCTTTTTCCACCTGGAAATCATCTCTCTCTCAATCTTAAGAGGGACTTCTTTAAGGCGACGGTAGAATCTGTCTCTCTCTACGGCTCAACAACATGGACACTGACAAAACACCAAGAAGCATCACTTGACGGAACATACACAAGGATGATACGAGTTCCATTGGACATAAGCTGGAAGAAACACCCAACAAAGAAACGCCTGTATGGACATCTTCCTCGTATCTCAGTTTCGCTAAGAGAGTGAAGGGTTCGGCTAGCTGATCACTTCTGGAGAAGTAAGTCAGAACCTGTGAGTGACGCCCTCCTATGGGACCCATTGCGCGGCAAAAAGATCGGTTGGAAGACCTCATCACACCTACATTGACTAACGTAGATGGCTCTCGACTCCATCTGGAGGATCTGCTGACTGATGTCTGACAGGGATTGAAGGGACAGAGTCAGGAGAATCCAAGAAGTATTTACTTATATAATTGTATCTATAAAAATAACGTATATACAGAAAATATATTAAAATAATTGTCGGATTTAGTCTGTTTTCATTATATATATATATATATATATATATATATATAAATATATATATATATATAAATAGGGGGAGAAAGAGATTTAATCATGACACCCCATGCAAGGCAATAAAGTAACTAAGACACAAGGAGTTACCAAGTGTGAAAAAAATAAGAAATACGAATAAGGAGGGAGAACAATAGGCGAGTAATCAAGAAGAAAGATAACGATTGACGTTGCATTTAAGTTTTTGAAGATCAAAGTTGGCTGGAAAGCATGGGATCGGAAGAGCTTTCGACAAGCGGGAAATACAAGAAAAGAAACTTTTAACATAGAACTTATGGTTACATCAACTGTCAATTGATGAGACCTAGCCGCCAGTCTAGTACTGCGCTTAAATTCATAAAGTCTACGTACCATAGGGAACAGTTTATCCGAACAGTTATCATGAAATCATTTATAAAAAAGTCACAGGGAGACAACATTACGATGTTGTGAAAGTGACTGAAGCAGAGACGACAAGTCAGAATCAATAATATTCCAGATTCTTCTTTGGAATTTTCAAGAATCCCTAGATATGCAGCTGAGCACCATAACCTATTTAGCAGCAATATTCAAGGGATCGATGAATGGTAGACTTATAAATATGTAAGCTTGAAGTTGGCTAGAAAGCATGGAGGCTGAATAGAGTTCCACAAGCAAGAAGTGCTATAGAAAAAAAAAACTGTTAGCATATAACTTACGGTTACAGCTAGCTAATTCAACTGTGAATTGATGAGACCTTGCTGCCAATCTAGTACTGCGCTTAATTTCTTAAAATCTATATACCATAGGAGAGACTTCATCCAAACAGTTGCCATTAATGTATTTATGGAAAAGGCACAGGGAGGCGTCTTTACGTCGGAGGGAAAGTGACTGAAGCCGAGATGCCAGGTCAGAACCAACAATATATGTTATTAAATTAAAAGAAGTTCAGTCGACTTATCTCTCGACCGACTTCAATGCTTCGCGGGAAACATTTCATCGGGGTCTGATAAATCTTTTGAATTATTACCAGATATTATATTTATACTCGTCAGAAGAGAAGCTAATTATAGACTCCGAACAAATTTCAAATTTGAAAATTGTGCTATGCTATATTAAGATCATGACTACATTTAAATATTCAAAAGTGATAATATTTATGCATGTAAATTCAATTTATTATGACTCTATCAAGGTTAAAATAATAAACACTCAGAGTAGGGACAGCCAACTAAAATAGATAACAAGTGAAATGGTGACATAATCAAGTTAATGACTTTCCTTACAACTTGAAATATTTTATAAGGATCCAAACGACAGTAATGCCAACTGTTCGATCAATGAATGGCGAATGTTTCCTTATAAGGAAATCTCACCATTACCATCTCAATTACCAGACAAGGTTTCAACATTTTACAGTTGAAATGGAAAGATGTATCCGTAAGTTCTATGCTAACAGTTTCTTCCCTAGCACTTCTTGCTTGTGGAACTCTAATTCGGTTTCTTGTTTTCGAGAAACTTAGATCTTCAAAACTTTAAATGCAATATTAATCGTTACCTTCTGTCTTCTAAATTCCTATTCTTTTTTTGTCCCATCTCCTTAATAATCTTTTGTCTTTCTCATATTCTTTCACCCTGCATTTACATTTTTGAAGATTGTAGTTATCAGGGAAGCAAGGACACGGAAGGGAGTTCCACAGGTGTGAAGTGCGAGAAAAGAAACTGCTGGAGTAGAAATGGCGGTTACATTTAACTAATTCAACAGTAGAAAGGTGGGACCTAGATGCCAATCCAGTAGCACGCTCAAACTCGCGTAGTCTAGGCACCAGGGAAGAAAGCTCGTCAGAGCATTAGACATGTAAATATTTGTAGAAAGGACAGAGGGAAGCCACGTCACGTCACTGAGAAAGTGACTGAAGTCAAAAGGTCAAGTCAGGATCGATCACATTGCAGACCCTTCCTTAGATTTTATCAAGAACCTCGAGATGAGCATCAGACAAGATATGGCAACAGTATTCCATGCACAGACGAATGGTAGATTTGTAAATGTGCAAGATGGACTCTGCCGAGAAAAATCTTCTGGCACGACTCAGTGACCTTAACTTTCCTTACAGTAGATGCAGCCTTTGATTCGATGTAGTCATTCCACTTCAAGCCAGTTTAAAACATGAGACCAAGAAGGCGCAGTGTGTTGCTCTCCATGAGTCTAGCATCAGCTATGCTGATAGTGGGCATGAAAGTTTCTCTATGGCGGTTAAATGAGAGCAATTTCGTTTCAGAGGCATTGAAATTTAGGAGCCATTTCCTGCCTTAAGTAACCACAGATTGGAAGTCCTTTTCAAGAGCAGCGGCCAAGTTAACTTTGTCAGCTCTGACAGATTTGCTATTAAGACTGGTGTAAATGGTAGTGTCATCAGCATAAATGCCTACTTGAGAACTGATGACATCAGGAATATCATTGATGAAAATCGGAAACAGAGTAGGACTCAGGATAGAGCCATGGAGAACATCCACGTTCGTGTGAAAGGATCAGGAAGCGAGACTGATCTCTGTAGCTTCAGTAGACGACCAGCGTGCCAAACCCTGTCAAAAGCCTCCGAGATATCTAGAGCCACAATCAAAGCATCCCCGATAATGGTTTTCGTTTGTGTGGTGTTCCAGCAATATATCTCGAGATTCCCGACAAAATCCAAGGAAGTGTTCTGTAATGTTATCGATCCTAACCTGGCATCTCGATTTCAGTCACGTTCCCACCGCCGTGATGAGGTTTCCCTCTGTCTTTTCTACAAATATTTTCATGACAATTGTTCTGATGAGCCCTCCTCCTTGGTACCTCGACCACATGATTTTAAGCATACTACAAGATTGGCAACTAGGTCTTATCATTTTAATGCTGAACTAGCTAGATGAAACCGTAAGTTCTATTCTAATAGTTTCTTTTCTCGCACTTCTCACCTGTAGAATTCTCTTCCGGATTTTTGCTTCTGTCGCCCATATAATCTTCAATAATTTAAATGTAGCATCAATCGCCATCTGTCTTTTGGAATTCTTTTCTCCTCCTGATGTAGCATACCTACGGACGATAATGTGTATGTCTTCCTTCACATAAATACAGTAGTGAATACTGTATATTGGTCTGCAGTTGGAGATTCATTGTGAAATTCAATTGACTCATTTCTACTTCTACGCGCCGCTGGTGAATCTTATATGTGTTGTTCTTGTCCTAAGTATTATCGTTCATTACCAACCTTCGTGTGATTATTCTATTCAGTAAACTTCCCTAATGTCTTCTCATTCCATTTCACTTCCATTAAGCCTTTGCGTGTTTGTGGCATTATCGCTATCAAAACCTGTTCTTTTATTGTCCTTTTTCCTCATTAAAGTCTTCTCATTGACTTCCATTCCAAATGACCCTTTGCGTCTTAGTATCATTTTCTCCTTGCTTGTTGTGAAATAATTAAGGAAAAAATCACTCGTTCAGTTTGCTAGTAGACGTTGTTTTATGTGAATCTAAAACTTGCTTCCCCTTTCCTGATCCAAAATTTTTATTCCTTTGTAGCGCGATCCTAATATTTATCTATCTGTCTATACTCTCCCAGAATTACCTGGCGTGGTATATTTAACACAGAGACTTGTTAAAAACGTTTTAGTCTTCTCTTCTGGAATCACAAAGTGTCGCATTTTGGCTCGCTCCTCATTTCACTAATTAATCGGTTTCGATTCTGTGACGCGAGAAAATTAATGAAAAACGTAAAGAAATGATAATATTAAAAAAACAACCTGCATTTAAAAAAATATTATTTTTCTTCTGTAGAAGCAAGTAGTAAGGTGCATGAATTCTTTCGCTGTTTGCTGTCATACGATTCTTTGCATCAACAGTAATTTAAGAAGCAGACAGATGAGGAATTGAAACCAGAAAAAAAAAACAAAAAAACATCGAGCGCGCCAGGTACGTAGATTGGTTTTGATTTTGCTATTGATCTAAGACATTGGCAACTGTCGCTAAGAAGGAAAGGAAATGAAAGAGCGGAAAGAAAAAAAGAAGAGGGTAAAGTAGGAAGTAGGAGGAAGATGAGAAAGCAGGAAAAGAGAGTAGGAGAAAAAATCAGGAATATAGCTGGAGGAGAAAGAATAAAGAGAGGAAGAGGAGGAGGAGAAAGCAGAAAGAGAGTAAGAAAAGAAAGAGAGCACGAAAAGAAAGAGGGTAGGAAAAGAAAGCAAGAATAGTGAGCAGAAGGAGAAAACATGAAGAGGGCAAGAGGCGAAAAGAGGAAGAGGACAGGAGGAGAATGAAGAAATAGAGGAGGAGGAGGAGAAAGCAGGAAGAGAGGCGGGAAAGAAAGAAGACAGAGAGCAAGATGAGAAAACATGAAGATTGTAGGAGGAGAAAGAATAAAGAGAAGAGGAGGAGAAAGCAGAAAGAGAGCAAGAGGAGAAAACATAAAGAATAGGAGGAGAAAGAATAAAAAGAGGAGGAGGAGGAGGAGGGGGTGGAGGAGGAGGAGGAGGAGGAAAAACAGAAAGAAAGGAGGAGAAAGCAGAAAGAGAAAGCAAACAGAAAGAGAGCAAGCGGGGAAAACAAAGAATAAGAGGAGAAAAAATAAAAAGAGGAGGAGGAGGAGGAAGCAAAAAGAGAGGAGGGAAAGCAAACAGGTAGAGAGGAAAAGGAGAAAGCATGAAGCGAGTAGGAGGAGAAAGAATAAAGAGACGAGGAGGAGAACTTGGAAAGAGAATAGGAGAAGGGAAGCAGGAAGAGAATAGAAGGTGAAGATAAGGAAATGTAGAAGGAGGCTAATCATGGAGAGAATAAAGATGAAAGAGATAACTGCTCAGTCATGAAGTGGATCGTGTACGCAAGCGAGATTCAATTTACATAGGAGAGAGTATAGCAGTGGGAGTATGGAAACAGCACTAAACTAGACCATATGTTGAGATGGCTAAATGTAACCGCCAGTTCTATGCTAACAGTTTCTCCCATCGCCCTTGATCTTCAAAAATTTAATTGCAATATCAATCGTTTTCTTCTTTCTTCTTATGTCTTGTTCTTTTATTGTTCTCTCTCCTTAGTAGCAATTTTTCTTATTTTCACTAACACTCAGGAACTCCTTGCGTCTTAGTGGCTGTATCGCCTTGCTTGGGGTGAAAAGATTTAAAAAAAGAAAGAAAAATTTATAAGGATATGGTTGCTCAGGGAATGCATAAAAAGATAAATTGATTTGCAATTAATGTTGGAGCAAGGTAGGAGGAAAAAATGCAGACGACTTAAAGTAAGAGATGAGGCAATCAAGAACATTATTCAGGAAGTTTACACAAAACGAATATAGAAATAGATATGATTGGGTAAGAAGTGTGGTCTTTTGAGAACTGATCATTCAATTCGACCATACAAATTAATGTAAAAATCAAAATCACAGTTAATGTAAAACACGAATTTCTCTGAAAGTTTCAAACCAAAGGAACAGATATCGTTTCAAAACAGGAAAATGCTGGATAAATTGAGATACTCCAGAACATGATGAGGATAGTAATACCAATAGTATTTGGTGAACTAGGAACAGTCCCAAAACGCCTAGCGAAAAATTGGGAGAAATTGGAAATTTGGAGGAGAATCGAGACACGTTTGATGACAGTACTACTACCCCCCCCAAAAAAAAACAGTATACTGAAAAAGACTGTTGTAGATTTGAAGTCATTTGCCACCAGTTGATATTCAAAGGGATCAGTTACTGCTAGCGTTTAAACTCAACTAAAACAAATAATTTATAATAAATGATAGACTCTCCGGTTGGCTTCAATGTATGTGATGCCGATTGTTCAGCTCCCAGAACTGAACAGTCAAATTCCCCCACCACATATAATTTGATTAAAGCGGCGAAAGAGGAACTGAATACAGAAACCGCTCTGTAGACAGTACTTCCGAAAAGTTTGAAAGGGTTTGCAGAAGCTTCAGTGTGCGCAAGGAAAAACAAGAAATAATAAAAAGGAGGAAATTATGGAAAAAGGGGAAAATAGGAAGATAGATATTGAGTAAAAAAAGAGGGGGGAAACGTGAAAAGAGGAAAAGTTAGGGAAAGTGGGAACAAGATCATTAAAAGCGGAAGGAGACGGAAAAAACAAAAATGATTAAACCTGAGAAAAGAAGCAAGAATTAAAAGGAGAAAATTTACCTCGGTGGACGAAATAAAGGATTCGGTTCGAAATTTCAATCACCTGAAGAATGTCGGAGCTGTACAACGGTCGAAACGTCGTGAACATGGCAACAAAGATGAGGGCAACTGTCCGAACAATGTAAATAGTGTATAAAAAAGGAGAAAAGTTAGAATTACTACCTGTGTATTTGTATATATATATATATATATATATATATATATATATATATGTCCACAAACAGCCTGTTTCGGTGTATCACAGCTCATCAGTGTCGCTAGATATTCAATTGCTTCAAGCTGGGATCGAAACTCCGCTGATTTGGCATCAGTCAGAGACCCCTAAGCTATCGGCGTACGTCTGTGAATGGGGATCTTGTGATGTATTATATACGTGATGTATATAAACGCTAGGCTAGCAGCGACACCGCTCAGTTCTGACGAAGCAGTTGAAATTTCCTTTTATCTATAGTGCTCAATCAGCGAACGAGAACATAGTCATATTAGTGGACACTAAGGTCAACGCCAAACGGTGACAGTCTGTTTCATGCTTGAACGCAATTTTTAGGAAGAATTCGTTCAAGCATGAAGCACACTGTCGTCATTTGATGTTGACCTCAGTGTCCACTTTTATATTTACATATGCTCTGTCTCTGATAATGGACACTTTTACCCATAAATATAGCATGATTTAAAATTTTAACGGAAGACAGAAAGTGTGACACGGAAATCCGGAGATGCATTCTAAAACATAAGCGGAGTATTAAGAAACAGAGAAGAGTATTGAACTGTTACGTAATTTCAGTCACACTATATGGCAGGGAATGTTGGACAATCTCCTCACATATGAATAGGAAACTTAAGACATCAGAAATGTGGTTCTGCAGGAGGATGCTGTGTATACCGTGGTCCGAACATATAGCAACGACGAAGTTTCAGAGAAATGAAAACAAAAGGGAAACGTATAGATAACATCAGGAATAGACAGTTGAAATTTCTAGGATACATAATGAGGAAAGAAGGTTTGGAAAATCAGATACTCACAGGACAGACTGAAGGCAAGAGAGACAGAGGAAAACAACGAATAACATACATTAGTCTGTTTGAGGAAATGAATGGCATATAACAAAAAGACAAAATTTAATTAAGAGCTACAAAGGAATGAAACTGTGAAGAGCCATGATCGGACACGGAACAAGATTCCATTAATAATTCACAGTAAACAAGAACCTCAAGGAACCTCCCCTTTCTGAGATACAAATATATATCGCGCATATATATATATATATATATATATATATATATATATATATATATATATATATATATCATAATTAAGTAATTTATCGAGTCTAGAAGAAACCTCAACAGAATGCACTGGACGGCCGGTTCGTCCTATATTTGGGACTCATCAACAGTGCGTATCCACTACCGAGTATGGAAACCCGAACAGTTACGATAGGAGGCAAACGCTATACCAACTGTACTAACAGTTCTTGGTGACGAAGAGGTAACGAATTAGACTCAATATAGCGCCGCTCGATCACAAATTCCGTCGTGGAACTTCTCCGAGTTACTCTTTTACCCATAGGATTGTGCCTCCCCAAGCTACGACTACTATCCCCAAGCCGCTCATCTCAGAGCATTAGAAGCCGGTTCAAGCAAGGATATACAGAGAGAAATAATTAGGAGGATTTGAAATAATCAGTAATTAAGTAATTCATCGAGTCTAGAAGAAACCTCCATTGAATGCAGAAATCACTGGACGGCCGTTTCGTCCTATATTCTGGACTCATCAACAGTACGCATCCACTACCGAGAACTGATTTTATATATATATATATAGTGATACCTCGGCTTAAGTCGTTTCCAGTTAAGTCATTTTCGAAGTTACGTCGGTTTTTCTCAAATATTATATGGAAAAATAAAACTCGCCTTACGACGTTTTACTCGAGTTTACATTAATTTAAAATTGGTTTTGTGTAATTATTTTTAATTATTTTTTTCAGAATACTGTACCTACATATCATACATACTATAATAGGCAATGGGGTGGGGAGTGCTTATTTGTGGTTTGTAGTGTGGTTATTTCAACTAAGTCGTGACTTCTGGAACCAATTAAGCGACATGAGCTGAGGTATACTATATTGAGAAACTTTTTTTCTAAGTAATATATTCCTGAATTTGAGCGGCTATATTAAATCAATTGCTATATTTACTGCAAGGAAAGTTGGTTCATCGTGTCGTGATAGAACATTTTTTCAAGTCAGAATTCATCTTGCACATTTATAACTCTGCCATTGGTCTGTGCATTGAATATTGTTGCCATATCTGTTGTGGTGCTATTCATCTCAAGATTCGGTTTGTAATGTAATCGAGCCAGACCTGAGATCTTGACTTCAGCCACTCTCTCACAGACGTGACTATCCTCTGTCTACAAATAATTTTCATGGCAGCCATTCTAACGAGATTTTTTCCCTGGCACACCGACTACAGGAATTGAATCGTATAAATTGGCAACTAGGTCTCACTGTTTTATTATTTAACTAAACAGATGCAACCGTCACTTCTACTTTAACAGTTTCTATTCTTGCACTTCGCCTTCGCACCTGAGTAACTCCCTTCTGATTTTTTGCTTCCCTGATAACTACAATCTTCAAAAATTTAAATGCAACGTCAGTTTCCATTTTCTGTAATCTTGAAATCTGTTCCTTTTTGTTATTTTCTCAGTTCTCTCCATTTCAAATCTTCAGAATTGTTGTCTCGTTAATCATTTATAAGTATTTGTTTATAGTTTATGTGAATATCTAGGGCTTTCTTTTTTGCTGTTTGTATGAATTATATAGTGTATTAGTGTAGTGTTGTCAATGCATTTAAGTTCTTTGTCTTGATAGTGGGGGAAACATATTCTAAGTACTCTGAGATAAGACGAGGTGGACTAAGAGTTTGGAAAAGTAGGCGGGGAAGAAAGAAGAGGAGGAAAGAAATGATTGAGGTGGAGGAAGAAGAGGAGAACTAAGAGTAGGAAAAATGGTGGAGAAGGGAAAAGAAGGGGTGGACTAAGCAGAGGAAAAAGAGGTGGAAAAGGAAAAGGAGAGGAAAAGAAGTGGTGGTGGTGGTTGAGGAGCAGAGAAAAGAAGAGGTGAAGGAAGAGGAGGGGAAAGAAGTGGTGGTAGTGGAGGAACAGAGAAAAGAAGAGGTGAACGAAGAGGAGGGGAAGAAGTAATGGTAGTGAAGGGGGAAGAGGAGAAGGACTAAGAAGAGGGAAAAAGAAGTGGAGAAGGAAAAGGAGGGGGAAAGAAATAGTGCAGGTGGAGGAAGAGGAGAACTAAGAAGAGGGAAAAATGGTGGTCAAGGAAGAGGAGGGAGAAAGAAACGGTAGAGGAGGGAAAAGAAGAGTTTAACTAAGAGGAGAGAAAAAGAAGTGGAAGAGGAAGAAAAGAAATGGCGGAGGAGTAGGAGGAGGGGAAAAAGAAGTGGAGAGGAGGTGGAAAGAAATGGTGGTGGATGAGGAGCAGGGGGAGGAAGAAAATGACGTGGAACACAAGGATATCATAAGAATTAGCATATGAGAAGAAAAAGTGAAAAATTATACGTAATAAAACAGAAACAAGGGGGTTTCATCCTCAATAATAGTAGCATTTGTTGAAATTGTCGTGTAAAGAGAAGACTTCCGTAGAATGAGAAGGAAGAGGAGGAGGAGGAGGAAGGGGAGGAGGTAGAAGAAATTTTAGTAAATCATGAGGCCCGTATTTGGTGGCGGGTGGTTCACGCAAATAGGCGACACAAGAAAAGAAATAGTTACCTTATGAGTAATCAAGCTTTGCGTTGAATACACAGCCGCTGCGTTTGAAAAATCATTAGTAAATGAAGCAAGAACAAGATGAAAAAAAGAATAATTAATTAATAAGGAGGAATTGAATTGGGAGATGAAAAAAAGAGGTCAGGGCAAAGAAAAGGAGAATAGAGAACAATAACAACAAAAATGAATAGGAAAAGCTTCTTAAATATAGAGGCGGGGTCAAATGAAAAAGGGAAGGAAAAGAAAAAAGAATGGGAAAGAGAGGTACACAGGGAGAAAGAAAGATGGTGATGGATGAAAAGAAAAAAGGAAAAAATATCAAGAAAAAACAAACACTTACAAATAAGAAGGAAAAGTAAGTAAAAAAAATGAAATAGAGTGAAAATAAAGGGAAAATGTAGAAGAGGTAGAACAACAACAAAGCCAATTGGGAAAGAATTATTGAATTTAAGGGAGAAAAAGAAATGAAAAGAATAGGTGTGGAATTCAAAGAGATGGGTGATCGAAGAAAAAACAAAAAACAAAAAAACAAGCCACTCCCTAAACGAAATAGAATTATTAGCAAATGAAAAAAAGATGAAATCGAAAAAAAAAGAAAAAAAAGAAACGAAATATGAAAAAGAGAGGTAAAAAAGAGCCGAAAAGTGTAAGAGAATAAGAAAGATAGAACCGAGAAATAGAGAGAAAAAAGAGAGAGAGAGAGGGAGAGAATTTCAGAGCCGGAAAACCGAGGGACTAGAAATAGAGAGAGAGAGAGAGAGAGAGAGAGAGAGAGAGAGAGAGAGAGAGAGAGAGGTTGAAAAAAGGTCGAAAAAAAGAGATAGATATAGAACCGAAAATGAGACAAGAAGAGAGAGAGAGAGAGAGAGAGAGAGAGAGAGAGAGAAAGGGAGAGATAGAGAGATAGAGATAGAGTGAGAGACGAAGAAAAGAGACCGAAAAAAGAGGCGAAAAATTAGATATAGAACCAAAAATAGAAAGACTAGAAGAGAGAGAGAGAGATAGATAGAGAGAGACAAAAAAGGCGATTTTAAAAAAAAGGAGAGTCGAAAAATAAGGTACCGAAATAAAAAAAAAAAAATAAGAGAAAGCCGAAAAACGAAAAATAAATAAATAAATAATTAAAATAAAGAGAGACGGAAAAAAGTAAGAAAAAAGACGAAAGAAAAAGAAGAGAAGAAAAAGAGAAAGAATAAAAAGAGAAAAATAAGACAAAGAGAAGAAAAAGATGCTGATTTCGGGATAAAAAGAAATGAAGAAATGATCGTACAAAAACAATTCAGAGCGAGAATACATCCTTGAAGTAATTAATAAAAATACAGACATGAAATAAGTAAACAAAGAAGAATTGAAACAAAAGGTTTTCTGGTTCTCTTTGATGGATAGACTTCCGATTAAGCAGAACTCATCCGTTTGGTCAAAGGTATTGAGACAGTCATCGACCAACTCGCATCCTTTCCAAAATACACTAAGACTCGCGTCTTGCTGAACCCCGAAGCCATGAGTCATGTATCAGTCTTTCAGTGCTTTTCATGCCGCCAGTCATCATTCTTTGTATTGGCAGGCCTTTTCGTTCATTTGATACCCGAAACGCTGTCGGCAAGATTCGGATAAACAACGAGAAGGCGATAAATAAATGAAATCGAAAGAAAGCAGATCAGTTCGAGGAGAAACGCGAAACGATCTCGTTCTTTGGCCTTTTGCTACTTTTGAAAGACGAGATTAAGCTCATTTCAATGTGAGGCCCATTTTGATCTTTTGAAAGGTGGCATTAAGCTCATTTCAATGTGATTCCCATTTTGAGCTTTTGAAAGACGAAATTAAGCTCATTTCAATGTGAGTCCCATTTTGATTTTTTGAAAGAAGAGATTATGCTCATATCAGTGTGAAGCCCATTTTGATCTTTTGAAAGACGACATTAAGCTCATTTCAATGTGATTCCCATTTTGACCTTTTGAAAGACGAGATTAAGCTCATTTCAATGTGAAGTTCATGTCTTTTGTCTCAATTAATTTTACTGGGTTGATTAAAATGACAAAAAATGTAGAAAAAATATTTTCCTTCTGCATCGCGCTTAAGTTTCAAATGTTATTTTTTGTTCATGAAATAACAACAAGAAAGCCAAGAAGAAACGTAAATCGTAGTACCTTCTCAATCGTCTTTGATGAAACATATATAAAAGAGAGTTTGGTACCAAATACAAAATAATATATATATATATAATGTGTGTGTGTGTATTTAGCCAGCAATCCTTCTTTCATGCACATTTATTTAGTTTTTTTTTATACAATTTCTCATGCGATGTGATACTTTTTTTCTTTTCGGATGATAAATTATATAAAAACTGTCCGAATGTTCTTTTTTATCCAAGCGCTTTCGGCTATACATTTAGCCATTTTCAAGGATTATATTTTAACTGTTAAAATAAGAAATAGTTTGTTGTATGTATGTTTTATAAAATGTTTTCATTTTTCAAAACACAATCAAGATATTATGTCCATGTTCAAAATTAATATTAAGTGTTGTTTTTTTTTTTTTTATTAATAAGGCTTCCATTATTTTTAGCCTTTTTTTGCATGTAGATGATGCTATTATATTAGTGTTGTCAACCAGTATGTTACGAATAGTGTCCGGTAGGTCTCCATGAATATTTAAATGAGATCTAATTGAGCTATTGTCAGAAAGGTGTAGAGTGAGTCTGCGTGTCAAACATGTAGTGTGGACTTTATAATTATTTACGAATTTTGGTTGATCAGGAATACAATTTTTTAATGTGCATTTAAATTCGTAAATAATATTTAAATTTTTTAATGTGCATTTAAATTCGTAAATAATATTTGCCCTATTTAATTTTGTTCTAGGAGGTGAATTATTATTTTTAACTATAAGGTTAGAGGTTTTAATTTTTTTGTAATAAATAATTAATCTAATTTTTTTGCTATTGTCCACTGGTGTTATGCATTTTTTTTATAATGTTCTTCATTCTGCATTCATCCTTTTTATAATTTTCGTTCAGACGAATTAAGAACATTAAAATTTAAATTTTCCCAAAATTAAAAAAAAAAAAATTAGGTGTAGGTAGGTGTGCCTATCGCCTGGTTTACACTGCTTCCTCATCTTTTGAACAGGATAAGAGGTTTATCCCTTCCTTCCTGTTTAGGATTGTGTTTTCTCATTTTCTTTCATAACCAGTACACCTCCTTGCATCTTAGTGGAATCATGGTCTTGCTTGAAGGTTAAATTATATATATATATATATATATATATATATATATATATATATATGTGTGTGTGTGTGTGTGTGTGTGTGTGTGTACCAGATGTAACAACAAAAATGTCGAAATCATGTAAAAGCAAAATTGTCCGATTCTTAAGCTCTGAACCGTTGAATCTTAGAACTGATTAAATATATCTTAATGGAATTCTCCGAGTTTTTTTAACACCATTTATTGGACTCTACTTTGAGCAATAAGAATGCATAATTACTCGCCAAGCTTAACAGAAGAATCGTGATGAAATCGATCATAAACGAAAATGACATGTTTATCATTAATTAAACATAGCTAAAGATCGGAAGCTCATGAAGGATTGAAATAAAGTTCATATATATATATATATATATATATATATATATATATAATTCCAGGATCATTTTCCAACTCATTCAAGATGATCTTCACACTCTCTAACTTCTAACGTTATGTGTTGGAGTAACAAGGTGCCTCGCAATTTTCACGTACAGTTGCATTTTCAAGTCTTTTTTCACTGTTGAAACTTTTCTCTCACGTGCCAAACGCCTTATGGACTGAGTTGGATCTTTTCTAATTGATCTCTTTAGCTCTAAGTTGAAATGATGATTCCTCTTGCTGTTGTGATCCCCTGATTCAGTTTTCCTCTTTACTGTTCCTTCTTTTTTAAGCTTATTCCTCGTTCTCTTGATGGTTCTTGAATGAACTTTGAAGATGGAAGCCAGAGTATGAATGCTGGTACGATTACTGAAGGCCTGAATGATCTTTTTCCTCTCACCATTGCTCATTTTGGAAAACATAGTAGGGCTGACACAAAACAATTTTTAACCTGTTCTCTTTCTATCTGAATAACTCAAAGGGTTTTTCAGTGATTCTTATGACAAATGGTTTCAAGATGGCTAAACGCTTTATCTTTATCTGAAAACCTGGAAAAACTCAATTAGTTTCGTGTTTTTTTAGACATTAAACATTTGGATAATTATGCTGTCCAAGATTTGGTCAATTTTGCTGTTATACCATATATATATATATATATATATATATATATATATATATATATATATATATATATATATAATCTATATCTTCATCGAAAGGATTTTCAAGGCTTGGATGGACGGGTTGATTTTACGACATGTAAAACTTTTTTATTTCATTTGTCTGTAACCACTTCATTTTACTAAATATTAGCCTAATACGAGGCTCAAGAGCCACTCAAGTTAGAAGGTTACTGACTGAGATTGTTCTATAGTCGTAAGAGGAGGAAGCAAGTAAGGTTATGAGAATATGAAGAAAAAAAATAACGGCTAAGATCATAGCGTTCTGTGAAGCATCGTTTTGGGAGTTCCTCAAAGTAGCGGTTCTCGGGAGGAAACTTTCTAAGTGAAACTTCCTTCAGACCAGTGGAATGCAAAGGGAATAGAGTTAATTCGATTCTATAGAGGTAGAATGGGGGCTCTTAGTTTTAAAGGTCAATATTGCGGGAATTACATTTGTTTAAACCTTTGTTATGAAAAGAGAATTACATTGCGATGAGCGATGGATAAAAATGGCGAAAAATAGTCCAGTTAATTTAAATTTGGTTTTGAAATACATCAAAATATTTTGCTTCATGGAAATATTAAATTTAATCTATTGGCTTGTAACTAAAACTGAAATGTAAGCTTCAAGAAAGCTTTGTTATGAAAATATTGATAGAGCAGCGAGAGGCTTGACACATCCCATCAGAGAGAGAGAGAGAGAGAGAGAGAGAGAGAGAGAGAGAGAGAGAGGGTGGAAAATAATTCGTCACCCAAAATTTGGAGACGTTTTCAAACTTTATCGAGACTGGAAAGTGAGGCCTTTTGATTGGTTGTAGTGGAGGGGGGCATTAATACTCTGAAGTAGTTCAAGTTTTGATGGTATGTATTATACAGATAGTTTTACGATATACTCTCGGAAAGTCCCGGAACTCTATATGTTGTCAAATACACGGAGAGCTAATATTCATAGGTGTCCACCCTAAGGAGTCAATCTGCCATCAAGCTCCTTGCTATCTTCTCGTATTAAATTATTTCGTTGCTTTTATAAGACGAGCATTACACCGGCATAATATTTACCGGCCAAAAATTTCTACCGAGTCTATCAAAATGCTTGGCAGGTTTTGGACGAATATTGTTTTTGTGTAGCACAGTGCTCTTCGATAAAAGTGACTCACCTGATTTTTTTTTACTAAATGTTCTCTTCTCCGATGAAACGAAAGCTGAGCTAAATTCAAAGGATAAGCGATCTAAAATCCGAAGAAGAAGCTTTGAAAGCTCTTTGAAGTTAGCAGTAAGTACTGTCAAGCATCCGTTCAGTATAATGTTCTGGGGATGCTTTTCTTTTCATGGAACTGGTTTCTTAAAGCCTATTGAAAAGACCCTCAGGAGCGAGCAGTACAAGAGAATTTTAGAGTCTTATAGAGAACTTATGGAGCATTATAAAGTACAGGCTCTCGAGAAAGTTACTGAGTACTTAAAAATACATATATAAAAGGCGCTCACGTTATATTCTTCAATTATGTTTGAAGATCTATCCACTGTAGAAAAACATTAGATGAACATCCATTTGACATTCAAGTTGTCAATGTCAACACCTTAAAAAAACGAAACAGCTACGTGTTAAAAATGCATTTTTACTATATTTTAAACTTAAAGTAATATTTGTTTCAAATCGGATTAATTAAACTTTAAATCAGATAATATTCCTCAATTAAATTTTCAGAAAAATATATTTTATTTTAGGTAGATTTTTAATAAAGAGAATTACATTGCGATGAACGATGGCTAAAAATGGCGAAAAATGATTCCAGTTAATTTAAATTTGGTTTTGAAATACAGCAAAGTATTTTGCTTCTTGGAAATATTAGATTTAATCTATTGGCTTGTAACTAAAACTGAAATGTAAGCTTCAAGAAAGAATTTTTTCATTTTTAAATATTCATTTTCAACCTTAGGCATCGTGAATCTGTGGAAGTACCTACTTAAATCGCTTTGTTTTATAAACTGAATACCAGAATTTGTGCATCTATTTCATAACAAGAGCGATATCCAATATGGTGGGCTTGAGGAAAGAGAATCAGATATTGTTGTTTGAAATACCGGGTGTGTCATACATGGCGCGTAAGACAAAAATCAATAACAGTGTTTCTTTAGGTGGTTAATTTTGTCTTAAAAGAATCAAATTGCATTTTAATGGCCATCAGAAAAGAAATGCTACAATAGAAAGACGCACAATAAC